TGGCCTCATCATATCATTCTGACTTTCAGAACTCGTCTTTTATTTTTTTAAAAACTGATAAACTATACACTTTAAACTCTTTTTGTAAGGGTGAGTTTTGGCGGGTTATGAATGGACGGGATAGAAATAGTTGATTAGTCCGTTAGTGACCCGATTGGAGCCGGTCACAAATGATTTAGGTATTTAGGCTACTCAGCTCACATCTAACCTAATAACTTGTAAATAATTTAGACACTAATTCTTTACTTGTTGAGAAATCGGGTTGTCCAAATATACATTATGCCTACCAAACTTTAAATATAAGAGTTCAATTTAAGATGGCATAATTTTTTTTGGATATACAATTTTTGTTGTACCAAATGGTCTATATTTTACATAATATTTAAATAGTAATATTATATTATATGATTTATTTGGACCATTTTGTACAACAATCTTAAAACAAATTCGCCCAGTTACGGTGCTGACTGACTCTTAACATCTGTCTTCAAGAATACAACTATCTTCTTTCTTCGAAATTCTCGTATAAACGATCCCACTTCCCACTTTCTCATATAGATAATATCTTATTAAAAGTATCCTATCATAATTTATTTGATTTTTCAAATTATAAGAATCATCAAAAGCGTAACTTATGCTTATCTTGCTATAGATAACACTCCCTCATTGTAAAAATCACAATGAAATGTGGATGAACTTGCTCATAAAATTATTACCCCGAATATCTAATAACGTGAATGACTTTCACACTTATTATTTACCCAAAAAAGGAAAGGACTAAAATGGCAGTTTTTTTCTTTTCATTCTTCTTGGTGGAAATTTATTTACAATGTGGATTTCATGCTAAATTTAGGTTGTGCAAACGCAACAAAGTTCTAAGTATTAGGCCTAAAGCCACACACAGTACACACTTGCTAACTACTGTAAGAATGTGATTATTATATTATTAGTGCTTGCCCTATATATATATATATATGTATGTTTTAACACGTGCAGTGAGAATGAAATTTCATCCGTCAATGCAACTAAAGTGCCTTATCATTATTCAACCCACTTTAAAATAGTAATAGTTTAATAACGTTTTTCAATTACTTTGAAAGTGATTAGATGAGTAGGTACCATCGGAAGATCATATATTATACATCTATCAGATATACACATTTTTAAATAAATAAAAAAAGAGAAATGGAAAATTGTCTAATGATATATCATGAATATGGTCTGTAATCTGTAAATAGTGATAATTCAAAATGATAAGTATTAAGAAGTAAATTTGAATCAGGGCAATGGAGTGAATTTACGTACATTCAAGTCCATATTTTTATTCTAACATTTGGATTCATATCCGATAAACATATAATTTTCTGAACATGTATACCTATTCGCCTATACAGACGAATAGCTGATCTCTTTTAAAAATTAAAATCCAAATATATATATATATATATTTGGATGATTGAGGTTCTAGTGAACAATAATAAATTTATGTGTCTGACTTGCTTACCTACAAAGTATATATATATATATATAAATTAAAATTTCAAAATTAATGGTATGAATTTAGATATATAAGGTCAACTTTATCATTAAATGTATAAGTTAGATTTGTCTTTAATAAATATTCTCTCGCATCTTACATGTATCTCAGATAAAAGGTTCGCGTGGTCAAAACTACACAAATAAAATAAATACTATAAATATAGATAAAGAAATGAATGCTAATATGACCGTTTAAAAGTGACGGTCCATTAGTGGGTTGACATTTAAATAGTACTCCGTAGTCCATACATGTGCAACAAGTGATGGACCCACGTTAGTGACATTAGTCCCAAAAAATAAAATAATAATAATAATAATAAATTTACAAATTTATATTCGTTACAACGTGAAGTGGACACCACAAAGACTGTCTCCAGTCCAAATAAGAATAGTGTCTGGTAATCAATCAATCATACATACATATATCTATATATATATATATATATAGAAAGAGAGAGAAAAGAAAGTTCGTAACAAGCGGCAAGAAAAATGGAAATGCAAATGAGCATGTGGCCTACAGAGTTAAGTGAGAGTCATCTCTGACCTGAGGGAACGACAGCGCTACGCTGATTTAACACGCCTTGTTCATAAGTTGGACAATTAATACTGCTACACAAACGTAAGAGTATATCCAGCGGATATATATATATATATATATATATATTGTATAAATTTGATGCATAGTAATAAATTTATAAAATTTTGAGCTACTTATTTTTAGCTCCAATAAAACTAATCTAATGGTTAATATTAAGACACGTTATTTGTCACATCTCCTTCCTCTTTTTCTCTCTCCTTAATCTCTCTTTGTAAATCTTAGATACCAAATTTTTCTCTTATATTTTCAGTAACTTTCATGTAATTAACCTACCCACAACCTACTTTTTCTCTCAAATCATGAGCTTTCTATCTCAACCAAACCATGCAGTCTCCATGTTTGGCCACTTGTTGGCGCCATGCTTGAATACTTCGGTGTGAAGGATTTTTGTTATTTTGGCGGATATTTGTAGTTGTACATAAGTCCATCCATGCTTATATTGACCATGGATATTTGTATCTTTTTTGGATATTACATCTGATTTTGTATCATCTTCAAAACCAACAATTGAAGTTTTAGGTTTTGCTCAGTTCACTGGGGAATAATCATAAATATATGTTGAGTTTAAAATAAAAAAAAAAAAAACAGAACAAATTAACAAACCAAGAAATCAATCAAGGAATCCATTGGGACTCTCTGAAAATTAATTAAGGTTTAAAATTTGGCAAAGGTCATGGCATTGCATCCGACCATGACGAGAAAGACAGAGAAGACCATCTTCAATTCGTTTCAGTCCCAACTCCAACAACGAAGAGACGTGTTTTATAGGCGTGAGGAAGTTCATCAAGATCGATCTCAACCTTCCTTCCCCACCTAATCTCGCCGGAAACATAGTCGTTACTTAAAAGGAAAGAAAAAAAAATTGGTATTAGTATCTAAGATTTAGAGAGAGAGAGAAAGAGGAAAAGGGAGATGGGACAAATGATGTATCTTAATGAATGACATGTCTTAATATTATCCTTCAGATTAATTTTGGAGAGAGCATGATCCGTATCCTTATTTTATACCTTTTGTGTAAAAATATATATACTAATAACAACCGATCATGTGTCGTCATATAATTTGTACAAATTTATAATAACTACGTATCGCCATATAACTTGTACAAACTTACTTAATATAAGGTTAATTAATTAATGGAATGAGAAAGAAGGAGAAAAAATAAAATATATTGATATGGCTATGTAAAATAATTATGTAAAATACATAATAATTTTAAATATTTATATATTTTAACAAACTGTTAAAGATAAGAAAAAAAAATTTACACATTATATGCAATAGTATATATTTTACGCAAAAGGCTGTTTTAATACTGCTGGCTCTAATACCATGAATACATATATACATCACATTATCTGAATCATCTCACATCCACTACTTGAATTGCGTAGAAGAAAACAGTTCACCCTCTTGGCTTTATGCATGCATGTTTGATGTTTCCATCAATTAATATAAACATCATGCTCTTCACGGCTTGAGTTAGCCCTTACGTGGACAACTTTAGCCGACACCGATCACTAGACACGTCACCCCACACCCTTTTTGTTTTGTCCAGACTCCAAACCAGAGCCTTATCCATATACACCATGCTTACAAGGACTAAGTAATTTTGCAACACTCTGTGTGTGCGAGAATACAACTTCAAAAAGGGTGTGCTGTGTGGGCGCCAACGGGAATATTCTAAATTATAATTCAAATCATTGAAATCTAAAATGTGGGCACAAATCATCATCATCTTTACGGGAATTTTTTTTTTTTTAAGGGCAAAAAAATTTATATTTTTTCATAGATATTAATCATCACCAGCTCTCTTTAAAAGAAAACGTATTTGAACACGTATTTCATATCACATTAAAAATCATGTACTTTAAAATAATAGTAAAACAACTAAGCAAGTATGTTGATATTATATATTAACAAAAATGATTCATCACCTAGAAATGATAAGAATAGAAGAAAGCTTTAATTGTTGAATTCATGGCAAAATTAAAATTAAAAAATAAAGTTTACACTATAGTTATGATAATCAAATATATTAAGGTCGGGTGTGCATGTATAAAATCCCTCCATCTTTAATTAAGGATTTAAATTAAAAATTATTCCACCTCGTAACAAATTAAACTGGGTGGAAAAGAAACGATATCAAAATAAATAAGTTCACCGAACTTATAACTATTTAATTCAACCTAAATCTTTTGGTCCATTAAAATTTGTAATTTGACCAACTTAATCCCCATCCAATGTATTTCATTTAAATCAACAAAATGCGCCTAACCAATTGTGTTATGGTGAACTAGAAATTGTTATGTGATACGCTTATACTATACGTATTCCCACAAATCTTCAGCCACTGATTCCATTGGATGTATTTTTGTAGATGAAATGGTTATAATTTGTTGATCAGTAATAAAATTTAATCTTCAATTGGAACGGTTGATATCAGATGAATAGAGGCTCAGATTCATGGGGTGCACACAAGTACCCTGTACATGAATCAGATAATTATTTTATTGGTCAAAAGTGCAGGGAATTGAGCCAAGTAAAAAGATGAGTGAACGTAGCAGCCAACTAAGAACCTCCCGATAGCAGTTGTCGGCGTCCACCGCATGATAAATTTCCATTTAAAAAACACGAGTTAGACAGAGAAAGGTTTGAGTTTTTAGAGAGAGAAAGTCAAAAGGACCTCCTGGCCAACAAAACACCCATTGATGACCAGGTAAAGTTGTCTTTCTTGAGCCCTTTCAATACCTTAGAAAAGTCGTCATCTCTCACGTTTTTCCGTGTTTTGACTTTCGCATTTGGAATCAAATATAAAACCAGCCCCCTCTACTCCCAACTTCTTCAAACCAAAATCCACAACCTCTCCAACAGCAATTCACAATCTACTTTCAAACTCTTATTTACTCTCTATTTACTCATTTTCACCAACTATATAAACTTTCTGAGTTTTTCTTATTTGATCCAACTTGTCATCTATCGATCCAGGAGATTTTAATTTCTTGGATTAAATTTGATCCATCTTGTTCTTCTTTGCATTACTTACAATGAGTACTGAAATTGAAGTTCCTCCTTATTTTTTGTGTCCCATCTCTCTAGAAATTATGAAAGATCCGGTGATTGTTCCAACCGGCATAACATATGATCGAGAGAGCATCGAAAAATGGATATTTTCCGGGAAAAACAACACATGTCCGGTCACCAAACAAGTCCTCTCCGATCCAGATATGACCCCGAACCACACCCTCCGCCGATTGATCCAATCATGGTGCACCATCAACGCTTCATACGGCATCGAACGCTTCCCAACCCCGAAGCCACCCGTCAGCAAACCCCAGATTGTCAAACTCATCAACAATGCCAAGTCTCTACAGCACCAAATGCAGTGTCTTAGAAAACTAAGATCAATTGCTTCCGAAAACGAAGCCAACAAGCGGTGCATGGAAGCTTCCGGTGCAGCCGAGTTCTTAGTTTCAATTATCATCAACAACTCCACCATTAATAATGCATCATCTGCAGAATCAGAAAAAGTATCATCAGACGAGGGGTTGGATCTCACAACTACAACCAGTGATGAAGCCCTAAGCATCCTCTATCATTTGCAACTTTCCGAAGTGGGACTTAAATCTCTCATCGGCCAAAATGGCACATTCATCGACACCTTGATGCGTGTTATGCAAAGCGGAAACTACGAATCACGTGCTTATGCTGTTTTGTTATTGAAAAACATGTTCGAAGTTGCTGATCCGATGCAAATGATCACTTTCACACCTGAATTCTTCGTCCAAGTAGTTCAAGTCTTGCGTGATCAAATCTCATTCAAAGCCTCCAAAGCTTCACTGCAGCTTCTGAGCAATCTCGGTCCTTGGGGACGAAACAGGGTCAAAATAGTCGATGCCGGTGCGGTGTCGGTATTGATCGATTTCCTCCTCGAAACTTCGGAGAAAAGGGATTGCGAAATGATGATGGTGGTGTTGGATCAACTGTGCCAATGCGCGGAGGGGCGAGCTGAATTGTTGAAGCACGGAGCTGGATTAGCCATCGTTTCGAAGAAGATACTTAGGGTTTCGAAGATGGCAAGCGAGAGGGCTGTGAAGATACTGTTTTCGATTTCCAAGTTCTCTGCAAGCCCTAGTGTGCTTCAAGAAATGTTGCAGCTGGGAGTGGTTGCAAAGTTGTGTTTGGTGCTTCAGGTGGACTGTGGCACCAAGACCAAGGAGAAAGCAAGGGAGATACTTAAATTGCATGCTAGGGCATGGAAGAACTCTCCATGCATGCCAATGAATATGATTTCATCATATCCATCTTGATTCATTAGAGATGATATATGGAGCAGATTATTGTTACTAATTTGTGTATATATAGCTACTTACATATATAGTTTACGTTAGAAACAAAAATTAGTGATTTATTAGTAATTGTAATTTGAAAACAGATAATGTTAACTGAGAAAATCAATCTCACATGTCCTTCTGTTATATTTGCTGTCAATTATACAAAGGAAAATTATACTCCGATGCTACTTTCATAGTAAAATAGTTCAAAATGCATATTTCCAGCTAATTTAAATCTATAAACAAACCAACCAAAATAGAAAGATCCGATCGATAGGTTCAAAGGATTTTTTTTAATTTTGTGGAAAGTTAGGAAATCAGATCTGTTCATGAACAGCTTTGCTTGATTAAGAATATGGTGTTCATGTAATTAATCGAGGCAAGTTCGAGCATTTCTATCTAACAAGGTATAGAGTGAAAAGGTTTTGAATTTAAAACTTAACCTTGCTTTTTTTAATTAAAATTGAATTAGAATTGCAAAGATTTCAACATAATCGGGTTCTTAATATAGTTAATTAATTTCTTCTAACAGCACTCAAATTTATAAAGCATTTTTTATTTCTTTCTGAAAGGTAATTGTATAGCATTGTTCTCGTCTTCTTACATTTTATGTAAATGTGATTTATGTTAGTTGAAGTTGTAGATAGTGGTCCAATCGAATATGTAATTTATCTTTTTTAATCAGAAGCAACGTACATTAATTGTTCATGCATATACTAATATATTGTATTATGTCAAAATTCCTCCTTTCTGGACCGAGACTGGTCTGAATGTGGATTCAGTCTTACATTAAACATATATACATAAGTTGAGATCCGTACTCTTTTAATTTGGAATTACGAGTTTTATAATAAATGTGGAGACGACTCAGATTTGTTTGCCTTGAAGATGATTTCAGCCTGTTGGAAGTTGAAATGGACTTTCTTTAAATTAATTAATAAATACTATGATTGTGAAAGTTCATCCTTCTTGAAGTCCATGCAGTAATTTGTGTTGCCTTCCACATCAGTAGGAGTTGTTTTATTAGTTAATTCATTGGAATGCAATACCACTTTTGAATTTACTTGGAAAAAAAAAAATTCAAGTTTTACATGTATATATTATTTCTTTATTTAATGGAGTTTTCAATTCAATTTTAGAACCAACGAATTGAATTGAAAGAACAAAAAAAATGAATTCCATCAGGTTCTTATATTATATTTATATATATTAATTTTGTTCCTAAATTCTATATAAGGGGGGTGAATACTTGAGTTGCATAAAAGTCGCATCGTCCAAACCATCGATAATTAAGCAGCGTACATACTTGGTATTGATCAATCCACGTAGTAGTATAATATGGAAATGCATATAATATACATGCATGACATGACATGAATTACTAGCTATTAAACCATTTGATAGGTAAATTATCTGGTAATTAATAGACAAATTCAATGACATGATTTTATGATATCAAAGTTACAGATTACATATATATATATATATACACAGTAGTTTAATTATGAATATTAAGACTTTCTTGGATCACGGGCATATCTGGGATCATGTGATACACTGAATTTTCAAGTACCTAGGGTTAGAAAGTTGAAACGCGAAAATGCTAATTCAACTTTGATCACATGGCTGGGCATCGTGTACGTAATGTGATACCGTACTGCGCTGTTTCAGTTCATTTTGGTTTTCACTACCCTAATTCCATTTTCCTAATTAAGCAACCTTTCTAACTCAAAACACTTGGTTGAGACAACTTTCTGAGTCCTTGGAATGTTCCAACGTAAAAATTACAAACTCGATCAACTTGGCTACTTGGCTACTTGCAATGGATGCCGCTTTCTGTGACTTGGTACGACGTATATGATATAACTACTATATAAAATTAGGCGTGGTCTTCACAGCCAGCCATATAGAACCTAACCTCTGTGGTATGTTCTATTTTAAATAAGTCAGCCAATCAAATCAATGCAAATATTGGACTTGTTACATTTTAATCTTCAACAGTGAACTAACAATCGTCAGAATCTAGAAGCCATATGATATAGCTTAATTACTACGGAGTATTACATTTATGAAGCTAGTTCTTCCCCAAACTGTTGAATGTACTAATCATGATGTTCTTTGGATCTACACTCCACCTAATCCAACCTGCAACCTCAGCGTACTTGAAGCTAGGGTTGATATTTGAATTTTCAATTCAAAATATATAAGTCGACGTCGAATATAGATATATGTTCTTTGGAAGATCCATAGTACGTAAGATTCAGGTCAGAGATATGGGTCTAGATAATTTGTATTTATACTCTATTTGGATCATGTTTGGGTTATAAATATGAATCATATCCATATAATGGATCCGATTCAATCCAGATATGGATCTTGACATTAAAATATGAATCCATTCCAGGTCTTTCCATTCTGAGCCTCACTTGAAACTAGTAGAATGAACATGTTTATTATGCTAAAGATTGGAAAAATAATTTTATTCTAATAACCTTGCTCCAATGTGTGAATTAGTATTTGTGTGTGTAAAACCTATGGATGTTTTCATAATCAAATTATCTTTGCATGAAACATTCCCTTCTAAGAAGGCAATATAAGCTTTGACAATGTATTCCTAAGTTGAAAGAAGTCAAGAACTAGTGTTTTAACACACTAAAGAATATATATATATATATATATATATATATATATATATATATATTCCTAGTTAGAGAAAAATATCGAGTTAAGAGATGCTTATAAATTAAATTCAGAATTGAGAATTGAAGCATTGCAACACCTTAATTCTTTCATTAGCGAGTAATTTTCTGCAGTAATCAATTTGAACTAGGAAGACAGACATTCTAGACAAGTAACAAATGATTTCAAGTTCCCCACTATATATATAGAATCTTATTGTATATGTAAGCATATATATCGTTGCTGTATTAATGATTATTTTCTGATAACTAAATTCCATTCTGTACATAATTACTATATATTTATGTATGTGTATGTGTACATATTAATTATAAAAAATAAAAAATAAAAAAAACATACAAAAGAACATGCATATATGAAGTAATCAGGGATCTTCTTCTCAATTAAGGCCTGAAAAATGTTGCATAGCTTGACAGCTCGAACGTGGCTCTATCTCCAATTAATTGACCTGGATCTTGAGCTTCACCCTTTGGCGGTTGTGTTACATGAAGCATATGGGTCGAATCCATCATTTGAGGATTATTAATAGACGACCATGGCGCCGTCTCTTGAGAGGCAGCTAATTCTTCTTCTTCTTCTTCACCGGGCAACGGTGGCAACGTCCCATAATTGCTGATCGTGTGATTACTACTACTACTTGTAAATTGCTGATGATCAATTGTGTCTTGTTGGTTGTGATCAATTGAATTGAACCCACAATCAGACAATATTCCCACATTATCATCTCTCACATGGGATAAATTTGGACACTCAACAACCTCATTTTGTAGCTGCAGTAAATAAGTACTAAACTCCATGTGCATGTCCACAACATTTGCTAACTCAAAGGATGATGGATCAATAGATTCAATACCAGTAGTACCCATTTCAATCCGTGTCTCGGGCTCATGCCCATGCTCATGAGGCTGTTGTTGATTCAAGAAGTTGGCGTAAACAAGTGCAAGATCGATGTTTGGACCATTGGATGACACCATTAATGATGAGCTAGTAGACTGTACCGAGTGGTTCCCATTGTGGGCCGAGGCACCCGCCCCATGATCAGCCAAACTCCGGGAGGGGTCATGATCGGTGGACATGCGTATGGACTTCCCTCTCCGGCTTCTCCGACATCCGCCGCCCACGGGGACGTTGCGGAGGGAGCCACCTTTGGTCCAATACCTTCTACAAGCTTTGCAAAAATACCTAGGCTGTGTTGAGCTATAGTTGTTGTAGTAACAAAATTTGGTGTTACAAGAGCCACAACGTGGGCAAGGTGGTGAGATCTCAACATTAGGCTTCCATCCTCTTTCCATCATCACCAATCAATCAACATACAATGGATCATAGGCTTTAATCTCTCTCTCTCTAGAACAGTAGGAGTTAGATAGAGGGGTATATATATATATAGTGAGAGAAAAAATGTGATACTGTTTATATGGGGGTTTATTGTAAATGTGAATGGGCATGCACATGAGTATGTATTGGGCTGTTAAGGATGATGGACCGGCCCGGTAACATTCCCGTAGCCTAATTCATGGTGTCGGTGTTGTCATACGTGGCAGAAAGGCATTGGTAGAAATGATGGTGATGTGTGAAGCAAAGGCCTCGTTAGGCCCAATCAGTTTGCTTCTGGAAGAGACTGGGTGGTTTAATATATATATATAATTAAGTACATGATAAGTGGTAATATACTAATATGTACTCCTTCAAGGTGAAAACCCACCTTGTCACGTGGGATTGGGCTTTTGATTCGGAGTGGGTTCCCAATGTGGAGCACACAATGAGTGTTTGAGGGTTTTTCACAAAAATACAAAATTGAAATTATTTTCAGGAAGTTGAAATAATTATACAAAAAGTTAATAATCTGCTTCCAAGATTTAAATAAAAACTGAAAATTTAAAGAAAAAATTGGCCAGAAGTCAAAGAGAAATATCATACCAAATCATTTTTTTGACATGTTGATTGTGAAAAAAAAAAAAAAAAAAGTCTCATAGATATAAAAAGGCATCAATAATGAGATGCTTCAAGTTTCATAAACGTGACATAACAAATTTAAGTTACTCCCACTCGTGCGGCGCGAGCTTAGATTCAGTATCATTAGAAGTTAAGAATGAGTGAGTCCTCTTTGGGAGGTTGCTTATATATTCATTTCGAAAAGGGTGTCTCGGATCATGGGCTTCTTGGATCATGCAGCTTCAGTACCCGAAATATTTATATATATAATATATTTTTTGAACTTGGGTCCGTATGTATGTATGCATATGTGTATAATTTGTATTTAAATATATATATAACCCTAGTTGAATGTAGAACAAAAGTTACTAGCTAATTAAAAATAAATAAGAGTTAAGTGAAAAAAAAAAAGGCCCCAAGAAATATGCAAAAAATACTCTTAATAAAAATTAAGAGCATATAACCTACCACTATCAACCTTTTGAGCAATGACCTTTTTTTTAAAAAAATCCCAAAATACCCCTAAGTGCTGATGTAAGCAATAAAAACAATAATTCTCTCTCCCCATATATATAGGCTATATAGCTCTCACCTGAATTACAGAGGGACTACCTTTCAGTCTCACAAGCCAAAGGCACTGCATTCCCTCTAATCTTCACAATCCAACTTTGAAAAGTTAATTCTATGTGTTTTCTTACAAAACCTCAAATTTGGTATTGCATAAATTAGTCCAAAATAATATATAGATATTAGTGTCATGTACTATTTATTTTTTTAAATCTTAACAACCAAACACTCACATACCCACTTGTTCTTAGAACTTGAATCACCAACTTTTTATTTTATTTGGGTCAAGTGTAAAAAAACACTTCTAAAATATAGTGTATATCACATCCCTTACGTGCAAAAGACACCTATAAAGTTTTAATTTGGTACAAATAGATCTCTAACAAATTTAAACCTTAAATTAACTAAATTACTCTTACTAAACCATTTTATAAAAAATATAAAAATAAATTATTTTGTAAAATGTGAAAAATACTCTATTAGATAACACCCCTAAAGTTTTAATTTGGTGCAAATATGTTCCTTTCACAAATTAAAACCCTAAGTTGACTAAATTACCCTATAAAAATAAATAATTTTGTAAAATGACCAAAAAGGACACTATTAGATCGAGGACGCCGGTAATAAACAAGTACAGATAAAAATAGAAAAAAAAAAAAACTAAAATAAAGTGCAAACTAAAGAAAACAAATCTGCTACAAACTCCGAAAACCAATGCACACTAATATTGGGATTTTTTTCCTCTTTTTTTTTTTTTGTTTAACAGTGTTGCTATGAAAAAAAATAAATAAATAAAGAAAGGAAAAAATATTTAGTAAAAAACAGTAGACTAAACTCTCAAAAAAAAAATTAACCAAAAAAAAAAAAAAAACTCAGAAAATTCAAATCCTTATTTTATAAATTCTCAAAGTTTTTTAAAAATATATATATATAGAGAGAGAGAAAAAAGTTTCAATATATATATATATATATAAAGTAATGTGCACATAACACTCCTATACTATGAGATTAGTAGCACATATATCCCTTGGGCATTTTTAAAAGAGTAAAGGGCAAAACGAGTATTACAATACTAATTCATGTCAAATTTTTTATTAAGGAGTATACTTTAAGGGTATTTTATGGACTTGTCCCAATTTAAAAGGTAAGGTAGTACCACTGATTTGGTAAAACAATTAGTACCCTAACATGTTTTAATATTGTTTATGATATCTGAATAATCATCACAATATAATATAAATGAAGTTTACCATATAATAATTTTCCCATTTTCTTCTAGGAGTGAAAGTTTACAATATAGTTAAAGGTAAAGTATAAAAAAAAAAATCCCTAAATTATTGACTTTTTGCAACTAACCCCCTGAACTAAAGATTGCCCCCCTAAACTATTAATTTGTTGCAATTAAAGACAAATCCATCACAAAAGACTATTTTACCCTTTGTTATTAAATTTGTCATTTCTTATTAAATTATTTTTTATTATATTTTTTCTTATTTAAATATTAATTATACCATTTACCTTAATTTTATAATTAGTATCAATTGATTATAAAAATGGAAAAAAAAAAATTGTAGCTATCATTTTCTAAAATGATCACTTATTATAATAAAACTTACTATACTCACTTTAAAAAAAATTAGTATATATCTTCTTTTTCAAATAATATTCATGAAAAATTAATAAATTACGTAAATAAAAAAAATATCTTCTTTTTAATGCAATATATTCATGAAAATTAAGAAATTACTTAAATTGTTTCAAAATTTTATATTTAAGATTTTTATTTAAATAATTAATTTTAAAAATTAAAGGCAAACTTTTTCAAATTTACTAGAGAATATATCATCAAATTAGCATGAATTTTTTTCGTAATTTATTTTAACAAGAAAAATGTATCAAGTGTAATTCAATAAGAAATGGTATTTTGGGCATTTAATGAAAAATAGGTAAGATAATGGGTCATTTTGCAACTAAATGTGATAATTTATGGGGTTTTATGCACAAAACATAGTTCAAGGGGGTTATTTGCAAATTTAGACATAGTTGAGGAGATTTTTTTTACACTTTACCCTATAGTTAATTATTTTTTTCAACATAAATGTAATAAAGTAACAAGATAATATATAAAAGTTAAAAACTCAATCATGGCAAATTCTTCAAACAAAATGGCCATGTTTTCTCGTATGAATCTTTTATCTAGGAACATTTGGAACATTTCTTTCTTTTCGATCTCTACACATTTTATGACTCTACATCGTCTCACTGCTGACCTTGACCCTTGTTCGAATAAAATGCTTTATCTACATCAAGTTCGTAAAAATTGTATTTTCACATCGAGAATTAAAACAATAAAAAATGACCAAACTAATAGGAAAAGTTAAAAGAAAGAGAGACATATATGGGGTATATACCCATCTAAAGTACTTAACCCCCCTTCCAAATGTATAGAAGACTGAAACAATGGAATGTAATGTCTTTCTCCATTATTTGAAGTGATTTTGGGAATTAGCTAGCGGTGAAATTTTAAAATACATTTTTGCTTTGCAAAGTGTATTACATATAAATTATAATGCTAATGGGGTCATTCTAATGGTATGTTTCTTTTTATCTGCAAAAAGCATGATGATTAACAATATGCAATAGATGCTTAGTAAACTATTTAATTTACATTTCATTGGCTTTGTCTACAAAAAAAAAAATAATAATAATGAATTGTTTTTTTCTTTAAAAATCAATCATGTAACAAACAAACAAACAAAAAATTGTCTCGAACGGATATATATTTTGAAAACAACATAAAGTAACTTGAATTTCCCGAGAAAAAAAAAAAAAAAAAAAGAAAAGAAAAGATAGCATGATTATTTTCAAATTATAGATTATGCTTTTGATCACCATTTCTAGTATGTAGGATAAAAACAGCATTAACATATGAACACATTAAACATTTATGATTAAAAAATATGATTAATTTCACCGACACTTCCTTAAATTTGGTTAACTATCACATTGAAACACTTTTTAAAAATTACTATCATTAATATCCCAAATCACTTTTCAATTATTAACACCGTCAGAATAGGTGTGAAATAACATTTTTATCCTATTTTTTTAAATACCTTTTAATCTAAAATATCATAATTTTATAAGTACGAAATTTCCCCCATTAATTATCCATCAATACCCAACACCTTTAGCCTCACTCATACTTTCTCTCTGACCAGTGACCACCACCTCACCAGTTGAATACATTATCAATAATCTATTTCAAATGAGAGTCAATATAGAAAAAGAGTTATACAAACAAACAAAAGAAATATACCCTTTATATAAATATATACACACACAAGCACACATTACTCCACTTGTTCATTCATAAGATCAGTTTTGCTCTTTAATAAAATTCATTTATAAAAAATATATATATCATCAACTCAGTTTGAATTTTGCAGTGGTTAAAAAATAAATAAATAAATAAATTGAATTTTGCAGTAATTTAGGTGTATTCTTATGTAATGTGTCTGAATCATTTGGCCGTAATACTATATAAAGTAAATGAAATACGTTATTGAAATTCAAGAATTAAAAGCTAAAAGCTTTTACGCATTATAACTGATCAAACGTTTTGCTAATACAAATATAATGCATTATGCAAGTCAAGAGGTTAAAAATCACTATAGTACAATCCTAAAAAAAATAAAAAAGAAGTATGCCTGGTATGAATTAATTAATTTGCTTAATCTCTAAATTAATTTTCTTATATTTTGATTCTTCGAAACAAACATCTCTAAAAACTTTTTTATCGATCTTTAAAAAAAAAAAAAAAAAAAAAAAAAAAAAAAAAAAAAAAAAAAAAAATTAACATAAGAAAATAAGAAAACTTTTTCCTAAAAATAGCAAAAATCGACAACATAACCAAAATCTAAATCTACGTAACTCAATTTTTTTCCCTGGCATATTTGATCATACAGAGAAAAATATTATAAATTTTTTTTGTTGAAGCCAAATAGAGAAATAATTAGTGGGATGGTATTTAGTAAAGCCAAAGTTTGTAATGGGTATTTTGGTCTTTTAAATAAAAAAATTTTTAGGTTAAAAGGGATTTTGACAAAGTTAAATGGGTAATAATGTTATTTTACATTCAAAAAGTGATCTAACACCACTAAAAAGTAACGTTTGTGTATGAGTAAAAAACTGAACAAACATTTATAATATGGGTGATAATAATTTTCAAAAAATATTTTAAAGAGATACTTGGTCAAACTTAAGAGGATGTCAATAAAATTAACCTTAAAAAATAAGCTTAGCACCCTTTTCAAAGTCGTCTGATTTCTCCATGAATAATATCCAGTTTTTTGGGAAGTATTTGCTCTCGTGTAGTCAATCTGTCATGTTACGTATGGTATCTTATTCTTGTACTATTTTTTTTTAATTCCTTTCTCTTTAGTTAGCCTTGAGGATAAGGCACTTTTGGTTAAATAGAAATTAAAAGAAAAGAAAGGAGATGGAAAATGAAAAATGTGAAGGAAAAGAAAAGTGACTTTAATGCATTTGGTCTTAGCAAAAATGTTGGAGGAAAATATCATTTTATAATTTTTTTTTTTCGGAAAGTAAGGTTTTATATATAACTGTGCAAATGTACAAAAGGCCGAAGCCCCCAAACACAGCCCAAACAATATTGAGCCCAAGCCTATTCTAAGGCAAGATTACAAGCAATCAGAAATTATCTAATTGTATACAGAATCAGTGGTTAGCCACCCACAGTCCGGTTTGTGGAAGAGGACGGCGACAGAGTAGATCAAAAAACATCCCGCCGATCACTGTCAAGAGAGGAAACCAAGTTGATTGAACTCTGAGAGCAGTGAGAGAAGGCGGACGAGGCCGAGCCCAAGCTTATAATTTGGATAGAAAGTAAGTTACAGAAAGATACCTGTACTTGCATAACTTGCCCTTATTATATACAAAAATAAAAAAATCCATATTAAAACTGGGAAAACACAAAAACAAAATATAATAAAAAAAATTGCACATCAAAAACTTATTTAGTTCCTCATAAATTAAATTATCCTACCATTTAATACAACGTACAGTACCCCAAATGCATTTGAGTGGGATACATTTTTGTAATACAATTGTAGGGCCCACTGCCTTCTCTTGTCAGAAGCCAAACCCGTAGCTTGAATCACTCATCAGCAAAAATTTGTAGAAATGAATGGCAAAAAGCAAAAAACCAAAATATCAATGGCTATAAAGTTAATTACATCCATGCGCACACACAGCGCCCATCGATACAAATTCATGTGGACGATGTGCACAGACATTCCTGATATTGGTGGTTTTACCAGCACAGATTAGTCACTCGTATTGGGGACGATATGATCCGTAGTTTACAGGCTAAACTGTAGCAGCAACCGAGGTGAGTATACAACCGTTGGTCCCAATATCATGCCATTATAGGTGGCCCAACCTCTCCTAATAAATACAGAAAACAAACAAATCGTGCACATGAGTACCACATTGTACAAGACATAAACGAATTTAAAAGCATTAGAGCTTCACAAATTTTTTTTTAGTAAAAACGCTACCACGACCATTCAAAAAGAAGGAACAGTGACTTGCAATTGGTTACCATCGTATAAACCAGTCAAACACAACTGGAACCAAATTTTAGTTTCACAAGCCGCCGCCCATTAGGTTGAAGCATATGATAAAAAATAAAAATAAAATATTAATAAAAAAGGAACGGATTTTATTCCTGGTAAGCGTACCCATACCGTCACTATCCTACTTTTATCACTTTTGAGCAGAGGCAAGCACTACTCGAATAAGGGGCAAACGAGCAAATGAAAAATAAACGCTTCCATATGTGTGCGCTTGTACATGCATGAGAAAGAGAGTGATCAAAGTGAATGACTATCAAACCTGAAGCATCTGCATTAACCTCGGATGCTGCTCTAGAAGCAGGCAAAGTTGATCCCGGTCACTCAATAGAGACTGTCAATAAAAAATAATACAAATGATCAGAAAATCGTTCTCGATCAATGCATCTGACATTTTTTTTTTCTTTCTTTTTTGCCCTAGGCCTGGTGGTGCGTGTCAGACATTTTGCAGCTGCATCTTGCTATTTTTAGTAGCAATATTTGTATATAACAAATACCTGAATAGCTTCTGGGGAACTGAAGTAATGTTGTAATGACATTCCAGAATCTTCTTGCTGCCGGCTTGCACCATCCGCATGCTGATGCAGAACTTGTGGGTTAGCATGTTCAACCTGCAGCTGCTGCTGCAGATGTGAAAAGTTCTCTTGTTGTTGATGTTGATAAAATACATGGATTGGAGAAACTTGGGGTTGTTGCAACATTTGTAATGGCTGCACTTGCAATTGAACAGGGTTCTGTAGCATAGACACAACTTGCTCGGATGGCGATGAAGCTGGAATAGGTGGCCTGAGATGCTGAGGCGGCTGTGGAGGACGAGGAAGTTGTGGTGGCTGCAGTGGCTGCAATTGAGCAAGAGATTGTACAGATTGGAAGGAAGGAAGAGGAATCGGAAGATTCTGCGAGATACTGGGGGGATTTTCTCCCTGATGAGGAGTTGGGCTGCTTGCATAAAGACTTATGGGCATTGAAGTGGGCCTACTAAAAAGCGAGGGTGGTGCTAGTGGAGGTGGTGGATAAGAAGTTACTAGGGATCCTGAGGCAGAAAGGTTGCCAAATCGAACATCATTTAAGGATGCAACAGAGGTCTGACCTAACTCAGCTGTCCCAATACTAGTTTGATTGTATACTGAGGATTGGGAAGCAGAAGTTCTTAAAGATGTCAAAGAAGGCGTGGTTGAATATGGAGGTGCCAACGGAGGAAGTGGTGGTGGAGGCCTAGCAGATCCACCAGGGGAAGACATGGAAGTCCGTGCAGGCATGAGACTAGAAGATGGCACTGAGGTACTGTTACTTAACACAGATAGATACTCTGTTTGGACCTGCAAAAAAGGGAGATTAAGTGATCCCATAAATGTTGCAAAGGTAGCTGGAGAAAAAGAGACTGCAGGAGAACTTTGAGTAGAAGGCCTATCTTCTCTTACATGGAAGCCTGTGGGCAGAGGTGGCTGCACATCTGTGATAGAGTTAACAAACTGAGATGACTGACTTGGAAGAGGATCCAGGGTCTGAGAATGTAGAGACGCAATTGTTGGAGGTGGTGGCATAGGAGGTAAAGGAGGTTGATTCAACGGAAATTTCTGGTCATACAATCCTTGAGAACGTGTACTTAAAGGAACAGCACCAATTTGTTGCAGACCATGCTTCAGATAGAAGTTGTGTGGAGGCATCCTAGAATCAACCGGCACAGATGATGTGGAAGCCTTATTATAAACCATGCCAGGAAACCCAGAACTACTAGCTGCTGCACCAGAATCAAACCCCCTAGAGGTCTTAATTGGAACATTATTTATGTCATCAGACTGTTCATGATACTTCTTATCTGAAGAAATACTTGGTTCCCGAGTCAATGGCATCTCAGGGCGCGAAACCGACATCCTTGAAGAAAATTCATTCTGGGTATTTTCATCAACATTGGATGCTAATGGTGTACCCAAGTGAGAAAACTGACTACTTTCATTCACATCGCTCTCTGTTTCCTCAACAATTGAATGGGGAGAACTTTGCTCAACAATGACAGGTGAAGGCTGCAGTGGATTATCGTCTGGTTGAGGGAACGGCAGCTTATCATCAGATTCTGATTCCTCACCTTCAAACACTATATCAATACCCTGAAGATCATCATCAGGATCCGGTTTCAACTGCCTAGATTTATTAGACTTCTCCGCATCTCTTTCACTATCAGGAGGTGCAATTTTTATTTGGGCAGCTGCATCACCAACTGACATCCCCATAGGATTTTGGCGTTCCCTCTGTCTGGCCATGAATTCATCAACATGGATAGACGGAGGTCTCCCACTGGTTGAACCAACTCGTGGCACAGCAATTACATTAGAACTACTAGTACCATCAACATTTCTTTCCCTGGCAACATAGTCATCCACATGCATAGAAGGAGGCCTGCTAGTATTTGGCTTGCGCTGCCGGAAAGTGTCCCTACGAGTAGGGCCAGAAGGGGCAGCAGAAGGCGATCCCCGGGAGAATGCACTTTGGGCCGTAGTCTCAGCTGGAGCATTGTCTCCTTTACGCCGATTTGGCCCCTCGAGTGAGGATATTTTCCTTTTGACAGGAAGAACTGCTTGTGACAATCTATCACGCAAATTTTCTGGACATTCCCACAGAAACTTATCACCAAGTCCACTAAAATTGTAATCTTCAGCCTTTTCAGCAATGCCATCTGATATATTACGTATCTTTGATGAGGCTGGAACATTACCTGATGACCGAGGAATGACATTATCAATTATATCATCTGCCTCTACTGAGCCAGTGGGCTTTTGTAGCAAAAAGGATAATGACTTTGCAGACTCCATAACCTGCACATCAATTTAAATTTGTTTAAGTATCTGAACTTAACTGTGATGTGGAAACAGAAAAATCACACCAAATCAAATGCTTCTGAAATTAATTATACGTGATGCAAAGTTGTTTTAATATCAGCCACGGATGAAAACTCTTCATCATTTAGCTTTGGGCTAAGCAGAGTAGTCAACTCCTGTATACACTTCATATTTTCTTCATGAAAACCCTCAGCACTACTCATATCACATGGAAGCCCAAATAAGTACTTTACTGCATCTACCCTTTCAGGGTTCAAACTGAAGAAAAAAAAATTGTAACGTTAGTCGCCTGAATGACATGAAAAAAATCAAATTATTAAGATAACATAAAAAAGACGAAATTCAAGCAGGAAAGGAAGCTCATGGAAATGAAGTCAATATGCATATAAACCACTAAGTAATTTAAAGGTCTGTTAACACTTACCAGTCAAAATATAAAAAGGGATCTCATAAGAACTATAGGAAAATGAAAGTTAGAAATAGCCATTGGCAAAGCAATCACAATCCTAAAAATTACCACTAAAACGGACAGCCGTACCCTGGTATATGCATTTTGACAATGATGTCCCATGAATATCTCAACGATACTATAAACTAGGTGAATGGGTTAGGGTCAATTAGGACCTGGCATGGAAGGGTTGATAAAAAGAATCTCTTATGCTTCACCTTCATAAAGGTTAAGCTCCATCAAATATAAACAGTCTCAAATTCTCGTAACTCCACTCCATTAATCAAAAAGGGTATACGGGTAGTACTTATAGGTGATTGTATTTTACTACTCTAGCTAGAACTCTAAATTGAAAGATAGGAGCCTCTCTCACAACTAAGACTCCAAAAAAAAAACTTCCATATAAAGACCCAATAACATAATTTACCCAAAATCCAACTCATGAACAAGTACAATAAACCAAATCCAGTAAATCATGAAATTACCAAGGTGCCCCTAACTCCTAAGGCTTAATAAAATATAAATAAATATGCACAACAGCGTACTAAAATGAAATAAAAATAAATACCCAAAAACACCACCCTGAAGGTTTGAACAATCCGATTTTTAACCAAAGAGGCTTCTCATATGTTGTCAGACCCATAGCCTTTCTTTTAGGCTTCCAACGTCTGTCATATTTGCACTCATTCAAACAACATGGCAACACCATGTTGTACTAGATATTTATAGGGCAAATTACACAAACCTCCCCTGTGGTTTGAAAAATAGGCAAACACCTCCCGTGTCTTTCAAAATGACACTGACATCCCTTGTCAGTCATTTTCGCTTACTGCATTAACAGAAGTTGCAAAAACACTATTATATCCTTGCACAAAAAATTAATTTTTATCTTAATTTTTCAGCTTTTTGTTGACTTGACTAATAGCATGAAAAGACAAAAATAACCTTGATTCCATACACATACATAAGGTGCATGCATGTGTGTGTGTATATCTATATATATCTAATTTGCTTTCTATTGATTTGAATGCTTCATATCTAATTTGCTTTCTATTGATTAAATCCTAAAACAAAATTAATTTTTATCTTAATTTTTCAGCTTTTTGTTGATTTGACTAATAGCATGAAAAGACAAAAACAACCTTGATTCCATACACATACATAAGGTGTATGCGTGTGTGTGTGTGTGTATATCTATATATATCTAATTTGCTTTCTATTGATTTGATATGTTATCCATTATCCATTCTATAGATATACATATATATTCATTCTCTCTAATCAATCTCTCTTGGAAGTCGCAAATCAGAAAGAGTCATCAATGGGTACCAAAACAATCCGTAAGTTTCTCTCTCTAGATTTCCCCTTTCTCTAAGAGTACGGTTAGTATTACTGATATTGGATCGGGTTTTTTTTTCTTCAGGTACTGTGAAGAATACAGAGAACCATTAATGGACTTTTTTTTGTCTTGCAAACCAAAAAAAGTTTAAAGGACCTCTTTCCTTCTCACTCAGCTCGACTATGGGTTAATGAATCCTAATTGGATATGGCCCTTGTCACCAACGTTTCCAAATATAAACAAAATCTGAAATCTCATCCAACATATTGGAATATAACCTTTGCTGAGAAAACCCTACCATTACGCCGCCCAATCCCATTGAACTCGCCCCTTCCAAATTTTTATTTTTTAAAAAAACCCCTCCAGCCACACTAACAGAATTTCCAACAACTGCATTCTTTCTTCTCCGGTGCCAGCTTTCCCAAAGTTTTTTTTAGCTCTGATCCATGCACCGTACTGAAGACTCGGACCAACCAGATCTCTCTAGCGGGAAAATAATCTCTCCCTAGCTTGCGAACATTTCTTTCCCTTCACAGCTCTCTCCCCGTCACTGAAGTTTCTGTAATTCAAGAAATGTGGAATATATGGTGCATTAGGGCATACTTATAATTTCAAATGGGTCAAAATGGAATCATTTTTGGCATTCTACAGCAGTCAATGAGGATAACATTGTCATTTTATAACTGTCAAGGGCAAAATAGGCATTATGCTGTAATATTCGGCTGACATCAGCACTGGTTAATGTTGATCTTGACAGAAAGTTAACAGATGGATTAAAGTGTTACAAAGATACAAATTACAGGGGAGGTTAGTGTCATTTTGGGAAACACGGGAGGTTCTGTCATTTTTCAAAACACAGGGGAGGTCAGTGTAATTTGCCCATACTTATAGCACACTTTTATTGTTCCAAAGTAAACAAAAGCCCAACAAAATTCAAGGAATCCAACTTCCCATTGGTAATATACAATCATAAATTCACTTCAGAAGTTCGACGACTTTCCCATCTAATCAGAATCTCTCTCTAGATCAGTAATATCATTAAAACTTCCCATTGGTAGCCACTCTTCCCTCCCTTCAGAAACAAATATTTTTCAAGTAATATTGATCTTTTCTCTCCAAGTTTTTTCCTTCTAAATATAAATATATATGCCTACTTACACTAAAAGCAGGTTAAATGCATATAATTGGGCTTTGGTACCATCATTGATTGATATGCCGACACTACACTACTCAAGTGTAACTGGCCATTGTGATCTTTAACGATGCACGTGGACTCTGTTCAAGACAGTTATTACAGTCACAACCATCACAACCCGTAAAGATCCAAAAACATAACATAGCATCCTCAGTCCATGCCAGAAAGTTAAGATGAGTACAATTCAGTGATTACAAATTATGACCATATGCAACTAGAATGCTAACCCCCCCCAACCACCCCCCCAATCAGCAGAATTATCTATTGAATGATAATGGATGTTCAATTGCATAAATTTAGAATTAGTGATTTAGTTCTAAGTTTAACAATGATTTGAGAGCCTTATATGTATGGATTTCAAATAACAAGATGGAATGAGTTACTTGAAATCCATGCCGGCAAGGACTTTAACAACACAATGATTGCAATAAAATATGTCTCTCCTGCCTCTAACCTAATATCCATTGAGTTTCAGGATCCAACTTGAATAAAAAATCTTTTGTTTAAACTAAAATCCATTCATTTATCTAAATGGAGCCTAAAATTATTAAAGTAGCCAGAGATGCATAAAGAAACCGACCTTTTCCCGTCCATGCAAAAGAGCAGAGCACCTGAAGACAATACGCCAACAGCCTCAATTGCAAATAATGGTGGAACATCCTTTGAATCAATATAACTTAATAAATTTGTCCAGCAGCATAGTAAAGGAGGATGTTTCCTCCATTCAAATTCATTCAAAAGACTATACTTTCCATCCTTTTCATGCCTACTCTCAGATTCAAATTCCTCAACACCAGAGGACTGGATATGCAAAAAAATGGACATCAAAGCGCTTTGACCTTCATTACAACAAACCAATTCTTTAAAAACGGATAGACAATCAAGTAATTCTTCCCCAACTGGTAGGACCTGGAATAGATATACAAAAGTAACTCAGTATTACATCAAGAAAGCAAGAAAAGTATTCACAACAATGTCTAGGAAAATGCACAGCAATCTCAAACTCATAAGTTCGAGTAAAACACATAAAATATTCCTTGGCATAACAAAACCCATATGAAGAGGAGAAGAGAGAGGCTATCACACATTAGAAATTAAGGCCCTCATAACATATGTATGCTTTGAATGATTTATTATACAAACTCTCTCTCTCTCTCTCTCTCTCTCTCTCTGTCTCTCTCTGTCTCTCTCTCTCTCTCTCTCTCTCTCTATATATATATATATATATATATGTTACGACAAACACAGCGAACCCAAGATACAAGAATCACGACAGAAAATAAACAAGCCACACACAAAGAACACAATAGAATTATATGTTGTTCAGCAATCCTACGTCCACGGTGGAGATCCAGCGAAAGTCTTCACTATTCGAAAAATAGGAGATTACAAGTTTCAGCTCCTCACTCTCTTTCTCCACGATTTTCAGTGTCTCAAAATCTCTTTCCACTCCAAATTCTAAATTGCCTTATATATTGGGCTACAAGAGAGTACTAATTAGGCTCCACGACCCACAAGCAAAAAAGGGGTCAAAACAAAGCTCATCCAATTGGTCATCGAGTCGTAAACGGGTCACAATGCAACCAAACACCAAATTTGGGCAACAACATCACTATGTATATATATAATAATTGTGAAAAGAAAAAAATAAGTAATATAACAGCGCATTGATCCAGATCCAGGTTCAAGATCAGCAGATCGGACCAGCCGATAAAAATAAAATTTGAGATCTAATAATACAGAAACCTCTATCTGTCTCGCCTCACGGAAAAAAGACAGGCATCTGCACTGGAATTAAATAGAAAGTAAACAAAATCAGTGTTATTCAAGCCTTTATGTTGTGGGAAAACTGGGGGGTAAAATTCTTTTTCCAAGAGAAAATCATGATGCCTACTGATTGGTACTACTACCAGAAAGTCTTGCTTCAGATATCAAATTCAGTTTGTTTCAGTTGATCAATGCAGTGGTGTAAATCATTTAAAAATGACACGGTGTGTCATTAAAGGCGCCAAGGCAACAAAACATATGTTAATGAGCTAACGTATATCATCGGTAGTAGCGCACAATCGAACTATCAGCATCTAACAAACCCAAAAACAGAAATTTCATGTGCAGGAAATAGAGATGAGAAGAAGCCAGTTAAGATTGCTCTGCTCTGCACAACAAAGATTGATAAAACACTAGTGGGTCCATAAGGAGAGAAGGGACATGTTAGCCCATGAATTCAGATTGATGTGGCCGTCAGAAAGCTGCATAGATGATGTTTTAAATGTTATTTGTAACTTAACCAGAATAGCTATAAGGTTTTGTCAAGTAGCAAACAGCTATATGGTTTTGTTTAAGTAGCTAGAAGAAAGTGTTGTCAGGGGCTTATTTGTTATTACTTATATTTGCCTAAAACATTGGCATTTCTGGAACTTGTTAGTAAAAATAGAATGTGGTGGACGAAGGAAAGTATTCTTTCATTCTTTCTCTCTTTCCCCATCTCTCTCTCCCTTTCTCTGCTCCTATTTCTTCTCTTTTTCTTTTTCTTCTTCTTCTTATACTTTACTCTTGATTTGATTATCTCTTAAAGTCAACATGGTATCAGAGCATGGTTTGTAAAGCTCTGGGTGTGTAGTTGAAACCCTAGGGCAAGTTTGTGTAAACCCTTAGTGGGTGTGAAGGGTTTTGAAGAGATTCCAAGATGGGATTTCTTTGCAAGGAAGTTGTGCTAATCACATCCACACCTACTGCGGATTGTAGTCTCGATCGGTGTTTTTATCATAGTTGATAATTTGTTATATTATTTACTTTCGTTAGATTGGTATTACAATTACAAAAATATTCTACAAAACCCTACTTATCAAAAAAAAAAAATTACACTACAAAACCCGCCCCCGCCCCGTTTAATAAACGATTTTGGAACAGGGATGAGGGTGGCTATTCTAAACGGGAATCAGGATTATGTTCCCCGCCCCAAATTGCCCCATTGGCATCACCAATCAGGACAGGTTTGGGAGGCCTGAAGTCAAAAGTGGGGCAGGGATGAGAGAATATGTAGTTACCCCATTCAGGTACGGCAGTTCAGACAGGGTTGTGATTTGAACAAACCCAACTCCGGTCCACTCAGCCTGGATATGCTATCATACCTAAGGATTGGAAAACGTAAAACATTGATCCCCTTTGAAGAACAAAACTTAAAAATGCTGTCCAAGGGTAAAACATTCCATGAAAAGCAACTCCTATCCCACATGTGCAGAGCCTTTTCAGCATGTAAAACCTACCATGTGGTTCCAATTTGAAGTTTTAACAACTATGCTAGTAAGTATTTGAACATCCTAGTATGCGTGCTTTTACCATTCTTGTAAAGTTACATCACCATTTAAATTGAATAGAAAATTATCATGATATAATTTTTCCCCCAACAAGTAACCTGAACTCATCCCAAGTAAATTTCTCTCATCTTTGAATGTGGGACAAGCTTGTGGAAATTTTTTTCCATCAGAGAACGTGGTCAGCGAAAGATGCCCCATTCCAAACTCACCTCATCACATTCCCAGATGGGAGCAGGAAAAGGTGGGAAGAGAGAGATGAGGGGATGGAACGGAGTCCAGAGGTAACAACAATAGACAACAATACGGGTGACTAAATGCCAATGTAGCCATGAGAATTAGTGATCTGGTGATTTTGCTGATGGATGTCATGGTGATTGCCTCAATCAGTTGAAAGCACTCTTCCTCTCATTTCTTCTCTCTTAACCTTTCCCCAATCCCCCGTCTTTTCTTTGCTTTTTTCCACTATGTTTTGCCAGCAAAAACCAGTTTGCAAGCTTTCCCCGTCACCATTTGCAAGCCCTTGTTGCATTACTTTATTGTCAGCACTCCATAGGTGACAGTTCCTCCGTCAAACTGCTTCCAGTTACCAAGCCTAGCCGTTGACTAAGATCAGATCTACCTACTTGCCTCTCTCCCATCTATTTCCAAGCCTAGGGACATCAGGGAAGCTACAGTACAGGGCATCCCCAAGCAATTTTGTAACTGAAACAAGAAGACCATAGTTCTGCAATTTTAATAGAGGTTGAATGCCATTGTCATCTTCTTCACTTTCAATGTGAGACGGTGTGAAAGATTTGAGAAGTTTCACAATTCATTCATGGCCAGTAATCTGGGTAAGATGGGCAGGTTTTCATGAATCTTGTCCTCACCCCAAACAAGAATTTGGTTCCCACCCCCATACCCCCAAAACCTGACCCTATCCCGATTATTGACTCCCCGTACCCGTGCAGCAAGACTGATCAAAACGGTTCCTTGGTTTACTGAGTTGGTTGTCATCCCTATCCAAGCCCTTCACTCTGAATCATTTCCCTACTTTCAGATTTCTCTACTTTTCTTCCCTTCTTTTTCCGAAAATTGGAACTTACAAATGCATAATAACTTTTTTAAGCTCCGCAAAATTTGGGATAAACTGAATTTCAAATAATCGAAATTAATAACAGAAATTTCTGATTAGCATGAACAATCAGATTACACCTACATGCTTTGTCTTCCCTTTTCTTAAAGACTAGACCCCATATCTACTATGAGAAGCAACATACCTTGCATAACTTGAGGAGACAAGACAAAATCAAGGAACAATCTTCGGTAGTCAATTTTCGGTAACTGTGTAAAAAACCACCAAAGAATTTTTGCAAACACATCAATACGACATCTCTTCAAGAGGTGACAGAATAAAAGATCATACCAAAAAAGAAAATTTAATGCAACATTTGCTCACCTATCATACGTCCCAGGGTAAGGCACAGATGTTCCAGAATCACAAATCAGTAGTAAGGACTTGAATACAGGGATACACCAACAAAGCTGAGAAAACCCATATTTTGTTGCATTTCTGCTTTCTTGGAACTGCTTCCCATCTGAATAAATGGCACTAATACACCCCTCAAGCACTTCTGTGAGCATCTGAACAGCATGCTCTTTCAACAATAATGGCTGATTATGAAAGGCGTGTAAGATATTTTACCTCAAACTGCTTTTCAAAAGAAGGAAAATTTAAACAGAGGTGATCAAAAAAAATTACCTTGGCAAGTGGATGCTCCAATAAGATAGCAACAAAATCAAGCAATCTGTAAACCTGAACAAAAATGCAAGTAATAATAAAAGTAAGTTAACTGACAAATACTGAAAAGAATATATGATTGATGAAATAGACACCACCTTGTAAGCATCAGTGTCCGCTAATGAAGATGATTCCAAAAGGCAATCTCTAATCCACAATATTATGGGACGCAAAAGCGTGGAAGCACTACCAGCATTTTGGCATGCTATACGAACAATTAAAACCCGAAGCATGTCTTGTATCACAACCAATGTCTGACCAATCAAAATTGCACCATCAGAAACAAAGAAGAAATGCATCTAAAGAAAACAGCATACATATGCCACAAGTCCTCTCCCACACACTCCTCCAATACTGGATGAGGAAAAATACAAACTATGAGTAGATATATCGAGGAGGAACCACATACACTAGTAGCATAATGGAGAATAATCTGTGCAATTTTGTCAAGCTGTGGTTTCAACTGCTTCAGTAGGGTCTCGCAGTGTCCAGGCTGTAAATACCAGTTAATCTGCCTCTCTTTCTGAGGCCCTAATAATGTCCCAACAGCCAATGTTCTAAGAGCACTCAACATAGGCATTCCATTCTTCCAAAGCCAGACACCTTCTTCGGGAAACAGATCATTCTTGTGGTGCCAAACATATTAATTAAAAACAATCATATTTCACATTTTAAAGAAATTAAAATTAAAATTACAACCTTTGGATAGAAGTTCATGTCCTGGTACAATGAAGCTCTCTAAGATACAATGAAATAGGAAAGGTTGCATACCAGTAGACACAGCAAACTGCAGGTTTCCTTTGGGCCCAACGTCAGTAATGAGGTAGCATGAAGACTGTCAAGTATGAAAAGGAAAAGACCAGGAACCCAACCATATAATGGCCAACAAGAAAGCGCTGACACAGTAAGATTGCAAACAGCTTCGAAACCAAGTGCAGAATTAGGATAAGAAGAGGATAAATCTGCAGCACATGCAGCTAACTTGGGGCTGCAAACACGGGAATTCATTCAATTATACTCCGAAATACATTCCCTGCTATCTGAAGGTAAACATGTGAAATTCAAATTACCTCACTTCTCTATGCAATCGTAAAAGGGAATTCATTAGTTTTGTATCCTTGTGCTGCTCCTTGGTTTCCTACAAACAAAGCAATGAAATGACTCACTTCTACAAGAAAACTCGTGGGGGTATTTTTCATCTGGAGTAACAAATACAATTAAGCAGAATCGATACTGAAAGCCCAGAAAAGTAAATTGCACACAAGGCATATAGATTGGTTGTAGGTGAAAGAGGTTCAGGGGCTTTAACATTCAGACAGAGACTGGATTTATCTGACCAGTTCATTTAACATCAGAGTTTCAATTGACCATCCCAGAGTTATACTGAGCTTTCTTTTTCAGATACAATGTTTAACTTGCATAATTTTCTATATGATGATAACTAACTTTATCAGACAAAGCATTTCTAGAAAAGGTTAATATGAACATAAGAATTTTTTATAATGTCTGAAGGATTTCTTGGTTATTGGGGTAGTGGAGGTGTTAGGAGAAAAAATCATTAACCCTGGCTGGCTACGTCAGTAAGACTAGTGTCCGGTGAAAGCATCTTTTGGGATGTAGAATTGCATATCCATGGGAGGAAGAATATTATGCTAGATACATTTCTTTTTTGGATGTCTCAGAGTTTGGCGGTACAATTTGTACATTTGCTGAAGATTGTCTTATTCAGTAATTATAGGTTAGTTGCTGCTGTATACATACTTATTGTGCATATGAATTGCTCCCTTTTATTGTGCTTTGTTAACAATACAACATTTATATGTCTCAGGAAAAAAAAAAATTTGTTTTCTGAAATTTAGGTAAAGCCAAAGGTTGAAGAGATCAAAGATTCTATTGCCCATAATAGCCACAAAGCTATGAGCCTATGAATATATGTTTTTCCTTAAGGAGGTCAAGGATTGATGTAAAATAATTAATGTTCTGATTTGGGGTAATTAATGGTATATCAAAGCAGACAATTATCAAGTGTATCACAATCAAACAACAGTGGAAGTATCTCCTCTAAGCTTCAGAACCCCACTGTGTTTCCGACATGAACGTACATTTAGAGCTTACCAGGCTCTAGGCTCCAGAACATCGACTCTTCCATCTTCAGCTGGTGAATTTTTCACTTCCCCAGCAGCATTCGCCCATGTAAAAATTGGGACAGAAACAAGCAAAATGTCCCACTCCTCCATATTCATGAAAGTTATACACTGCTGAGCCTTCTCTTATCTCCTCTGAGGAGGCAACCTAATTTGGTTCGTTCCTATCCCTCTCCATTAACATGAAGTAACAAGTTACGTTTTGGCATGTAACCACCACAAAAGAATATAGATCCATTATTTGATGGTCTCGTCAACAAATCAAGGGTAACGTAGCATGAATAAATGAATTTTACAGTTTCTTTCTAGTTTCAGGTACTCAAACATTTCCATTTTGAATGGCCTAATAGACAAATGAAAAGCTGATTCAAGTATGATTTTTAATAATGTTGGACTATTTAACAGATCTTTTATATGCTTGTCAAATATTTTTCTGAAAGTTGCAATGGCAAGATATGACCATATTGGAGCATCTTATGTAAGAGAGATGCTCACGAGGGGCCTTCCATTCATGTTCCCAAGTTCCCAACTGACTCAATCGGAGCAGCACATGCATCTAGCCCAGCAACCTCCCAGTAGGTCAGAACACACTAATTTGACTTCTATCTAGTCTCTGCTAAGGTCAATTATGGAGGACCAGCCTACTAAACCTCTCCAAAACAGTGAACATATTGGAGCATCTTATGTAAGAGAGACGCTCACGAGGGGCCTTCCATTCATCTTCCCAACTGACTCAATCGGAGCAGCACATGCATCTAGCCCATCAACCACCCAGTAGGTCAGAACACACTAGTTTGACTTTTCTCTGCTAAGGTCAATTATGGAGGACCAGCCTACTAAACCTCTCCAAAACAGTGAACATATACACACACACACACACATATATATGTAAACATATAGAGAGAGAGTTGACTAGAAGCAATCACATGAAGAAACCTATCAAGTAAAATATCTATAAAAATCCGCTTGATAGTTGATGCAGTCAATTTGGTGTTTTGTTTTTGATATGTACAACCAATTTACATTTTCAAATCTTTTCTAATGATAGTAAAAAATTAATAAACATTTTGAAGACTTCAAATGTAAATCAGTCAGCAGAAGTTCTTTTAAATCGAACAGGCTTTTAGCACATTCAATCCACTAGACATAGGCTTTTACTGGTTGCTTGCCACACTAGAACTAAAGAAGGTGAGATCGACTAAAATGAGAGAGAGACTCGTTTTGGTTTATTTGATTTGGTCGGGGACGCCTTCTGAAAAATGTTGCTGCTTGGCAATGCGAACGAAGTATTGTTGTAAGAATAGATTAAAGGGAAAGTGTAGAAAATTGTTGCTGCTTTGCAATGTGAAAGAAGTTTTGTTGGGTAAGAATAGATGAAAGGGGTAGTCTAAAAACCAAGTATAAATATCAATAAAATTACTGAATAGAAACAAGAAGATACTTAAGAGGAAAGAAACACGAGAATATGTTGCTGCTTTGCAATGTGAAAGAAGTTTTGTTGGGTAAGAATAGATGAAAGGGGTAGTCTAAATCTCTCTCTCTCTCTCTCACACACACACACACAAACCCACCAAGACATGAACAAAGAAGGCTCCAAAGATGACAAATCATTTACAAAACAAGAAGAAAATAAAATGCCAAAGAAGTAATCAGAAGTACCTGCAATCTCTGCAAAAGAGTTATTAGCAATACCAAAGAAGGGATCAAAAGATCAACTAGGCTCTGCTCACGATATCGTTCCAGAAGCAAATCCGATGTTGAATTGCCTTCTGTGCCCTCATCGACAAGGTAATCTGTTCAAGACAACAATCAAATCACTACTTTTGCAGCTGAGAAATGTATATAGCAATCAACAAACAAGAATTCTGTTGGTTGGAATCCAGAACAAAGGGAGTAACGTGTGGTCAGCTTGCATGTAACCCAACCACTGCTGAGTGAAATAATGCTAAATTTCAGCAAGAAGTAATAATTAATATGGACATCTCACTAGTAATAACAACGCCAGGAGAGAGTAGGGGAAGGGTTAAAAAACACAGTTACTAGAACTCGCCCAACAAAAAAAAAAAAGGTAGCACAACTTTAAGGAACAGCGCAAATGAACATCAAGTAACATTAGATGATAAATACGATATTTACTTTGATGCACAACTGATTATAACTAACAAGAACTGCAAAACCACCGACTTGCATGATAATTAGCAACCCAAAACTCACATGACCAGATACTGATACTGAACATACAACAGGCAAAATTCACTACCACAGATCCACTTCAAAGAATTGGCTGAAACTTCAATATTTTTAATTGCTTTTACACAATTTAACTATTTTACTTATTTGTTGTAAAGTGTATTAGTCAAATTTTAATGGGTAATAAGCTCAAATAGAAGTGTTCTAATAAGTTGTGTTCTTTTATGAATCAATATTCATTGTTTTAAAGTTCCAAAATATCATCAATTATTAGATCCATAACATTTATATATCATTTACCTAACAGATTGTACCTTTCAAATGATTCATATAAAAAATAAGTATAAATGGAAGCAGATCAGTTTCGAGTGAATGCATAATCTGAGATAGAGCGAGAAAATTTTAATTTGATTAATTCAACTTATAAGACTCTGGAACAAGTAGAAAATTAAAAAAATGAAACCATTAATTTGAACAACAAAGGGCAATTAATCAAGTCAGACAACGGGTTTTACAAGAAGCCCTACAAAGAGCTCCAGGAACCCTGAATAGTTGTTTGAATTACAAGTCACATTTACGTACCATCAGTGCCAATATTGGCATGTTTAAGGCGATGAAAGAAATAACTGATTAGTCCTTCTATTATAGGCTTTTTTTTTGGCTTTCAAAAAAGAATTAAGAAATACTCATGGTAACCATTCAAGCAGACGAAATTAGTAATATTATCCATGAACGTATTGAGCAATATAATAGAGAAGTACAGATTGTAAATACCAGTACTGTACTTCAAGTAGGCGATGGCATTGCTTGTATTCATGGTCTTGATGAAGTAATGGCAGAAGAATTAGTAGAATTTGAAGAGGGTACAATAGGCATTGCTTTGAATCGTAGACATTTTCAATATATGAAAATCTATAAACTAATTCTGTTCCAATGAGCACTATCTGTTGACCTAACCGGAGCCCAACTTAAAATTTTGAAGAGCTTGCGCATGGTATTAGAGATCTTGATAACGGACTCGGGTTCATATTTTAGGAGCTCAAATTCACTTTGGACAGAACTTGGACGAGAGTTCCTCCAACATGACCAACCCATGTATTCGAAATTTTCTAAGTCTTTTAAAGATCTTTAGGGCTTTATGCTGTTTAGACAAATTATATTGGTCGTCATAGGTTTGGTAATAAATTATTGACCTTGTTAATGGTATATAGTTCGTAATATTATTACAATTATTTTGACGTGGTATGAACAATTTTGCTACAAGTGATATGGCTATGGTTTCAATGCTTAATGCATAAATTATGGGTTTTTTACTTTTTTTGGTGAAAAAAAAAAAAAAAAAAATCATTAGAGGTGGCAATTTGTGTTGGCGTGTCCTGGTCGTGTCGACACGAACACGATTAGAGTCGACACAAACACGACATGATTATTAGTCATGTCTAAGACCCTTGACACGAGCATAACACGATTATTATACGTGTAACACGACACGCGTAACTTGTTTAATAAATGGGTCAAGACTTGATACGACACGAAAAGAGACATTTAATTCATTTTTGACACGAACGCGACATATTTATTCTACACGTTTAGCTAAATGGACCATTTTTTACACGAACGTGACAGGTTTATATGACACGTTTAGTTAATCGGGTTAATCGTGTTTACAGGTCAGACAAGAACACGACACGTTTAGTTAGCGGGTCAATTAGTATCGACACGATTACGACACAAACACGATTAGCCCAAACCCAAACTCTCTTATCTCGTGTCGTGTTAGCGTGTCGTGTCAAATATTGCCACCCCTAATTAGCATGTTATATTCACCAACATAACTCGTTCGACATGTCTAGATTTTTGAAAATTTTTGCAAGTTGACAAACTTGAGGAACCCATGCGGAATGGTATGGTTGAGTTGTCTTGAGTACCTTAGGTATTTGATTGACACAGGCTGAGGGATCAGTACCTTGGACCTACTGAACCCTAGGTACAGCCAACCCACGCAAGTCACATCCGTACTCAAGTGGAAGCATCCATGAAACTTACTTTTTAATTTAGTAAGCTAAGTTATTCTCCAATAAAACCATGCCAGCTGTAATCAATAGAAAAGGTAAAACATATGACTTTAAAGCATTGATTGATATCATTAGTTGTATTGGAAACTCCAAAATGCTGCCAACTCTTCTGTTGCCCCAACATTGCTTCATGTTACAACTTCAATTTTCAAGACTATCTGTTCCCAACAATCAAGGCCCTAAAGAAGCACTTCTGACAATTACTTGCCGATTGCCAAAAAAGTCAAAAAGGAAAAAAGAAAGATTGCTTTCTGAAACTCCAAAAAAATCCACCTTTAGCACCCCTAGTACATTCATATTCATAAAACAATCATTAGGAACCTCCTACTGATGTGCTGCCAGTTTTTCTTTTTCCTTTTTTTCCTTTCCCCTAATCATTTTAAGAAATCCAAAGTTTTCAACTCATAGAATACCCTACATGGAATTAACCATGCTAGCACAAAGAACAACTTCTATCAAAAAAATATAACTCGGAAGATGATAATTAGAAGGAAAAAGGAAAAAGAAAAATGTTGAAGTTTTCTATCGCAATAGTAACAGAGAGTAAAAACCTTCAAAAAGAAACTATCTCAGTGTTATTAAAGGCTCAAGGCGCTAGAGGTCCTTTGGAGCTTAGGCGCGAGGCGTGCGCCCGAGTAAAGTGAGGTGCACAATTGAAATTTTAAACTATTATAAAAGCATTCAAATCTCATAAGTCGTATGAAAATTCTAAAAATTAATATCAAATATAAAAAAAGTAAATCCATCAACCATATAAGCATTCAAGAACCATGAAAATAATAATAATAATAAAATTAAATTAAAAAGAGCACAATTTTGTTTTCTTGGAAGGCAAAATAGAGCACAAAAAGAAATAAATCTTTTAACAAAAAAACTGTTAACGACAAAAAAAAAAAGACGTAGAGACAAAAGAAGTAGATGAAGAGAGAGAAGCACATGAGAAGAGAGAGAAAGCGTTAAACAAGAAAAAGGAGAAAAAACAGGGCCCAAAAAAAAAAAGAGAGAGAGAGAAGAGAATTAGACGAATAAAGAAAAGTAAACAAAGATGAGAAGAAAAGAGAGAGAAGAAGAAGAAAGAACTGACATGGCTTCGTTGTTCGTCTCTACAACTAGGGCTTCGTTGCTGGTCTCACAGTCTCACTCTTTCTATGTTCGGTTGACACTGACTCTTGGACTTTCTTATTTGTTTATTCTTTTGAACAAAAGTTCCTTCTCTCATGTGGTTAGGCTTTCTTATTTGGTTATTAAGTTGCCAAAAGTACTATTTTTGGCTTAAGAAATAGAATAATCATTTTTTTTTTTAAAACAGTGAGGCGCGCCTAGTAAACATCAGTGCACCTAGGATGACAACAGGCGCTAGACCTGCGCCTCGAGCCTAGGTGTGCCTTTAACAACACTTACTATGTTCAAGCAAAAGATGTCCAACAGTACCCATAGACATGTAGCTTCCACATCACAATATTCTATCCCTGTTCACACTTACAGGACTCAACTTGCACCAACTCAGAGAATATATCTAAACTTCCTTATAACAAATTAGTCTTGTTGATTATCAATCCAGGCAAGTGAAGCATGGCAGCTTTTGTAATGAATTATAGAACAGCTTCCAATAATATGTATTAAATTTCTTTCCACTACTGATAAAATTAATTATAATTTATAGATGCATACTTCCATGATATATTAATTGAACAAAAATTCAGTATCTTCATAACACAGACCTTGCAGGGGGAGGGGAGGGGAGAGAAAAAGAAAAGGAAAAAAAAAAAAGGCCATCAAATCTTGCAACCATAAAGGAACCTAAACAATTAGGTATATAAAATTGAATCAATAACCTGTTACCAGGTGAAATAGCATCTCATTGCCAGTATAAACGTAATTAACATATACAGCCATTCAAAATTAGAAACACTTCGCACTTACCATAGTTGTTGGAGGACCTCTCAAACATGAACCTGCAGTCAATTAGAACTGCATGGATAACTAGTATGGCACCTTCGTCATACAGAGCATCAGCAACGGCCTTCAACAATTATACAATAATTAGCCAGGTAAAATTTCATAATTTACGTAGTGCTGAAAGTAAATTGATCCATACCACATTTTCTGAAATGAATGCCAAGATTCGAAATGCTGTTGTCAGCTGAGCAACAGAAGAGTCACGAAGAGCAACGCCATGAAAATCCTTATCGGAAATAGGTTTTCCAAGTAGATTCTCAATAACATTACTATCAGAATTGGAAGAATCTCCAACAACATTCTCAACATCCATTGTGTCTGATGCTAGAATGCTTGTTGAAGCCATGTGTGCATCCCCTCCAGAAGCTAACACAGCAGAATACCTTAGAAGACCAATTGCCCCATTTCTATGATAAACCACACCAGCATCTATCCAATCTAACAGCCGTGTCGGAGCATCTTTTCTGTTGGACCCCGGCGAAGAAGAATGTAAGGCCTTGTGAAGTTCTGCAGCATGTTCAATCCAAGAACCCAGAGAAGATGCAGTTGAATCAGTGACAATTACTTCAAAAATCTCCGCAGCGGAGTGAAAGATCGCAAGATTTAGTGGTGGAGCTCCTGCAAGTCAAGAATTTCATCCAACTAATGTGCATACTCATGAACGAGTGAGCCAAAAAAAAATCAAATATTTTAAACACAGCCACAAAAAAGCGTATTACCACTATTCAAGGAAACTGGATCCAGATCCTTGAAAGAATGAAATGCTTCCATCAAAACTGAAATAGCCTAAAAAGAGAAATAATAAAGAAATGCTCATTACAACAACAAACTGAGGCATGTAGTAATATTCAATGATGTTGAGAAGAGCGCAAAAATATATGATATTAATACCAATTGCAAACAAAAATACTATCTCGTGGTGTATCATCACTCTGTACAGTAATAAATTCTATAATTTAAATAGCATCTTTACCACTGAACCTGTGCAATAATAACTACTTCAGAAACAACTTATCTTGTAATACATCATCATCATCCTTGCCTTTATCCCATATGAATGGGCTCGGCAGGTCTTATAATGCTTAACTAAATTTGGAAGACAGAGAATGGAAACTTATTTGGCATACGCAATAACAAAAACATTAGTTACAACTGAATAAATATAAATAAATAATAGTGATGTGAAGTGAAAATCTTATATAAAAAAATACTAATATCAAGGCTATTTATGAGTTTTGAATCTCAAGTGGACTAGCATGACAAGCATGGAATTAAAACTTAGCTTTTCTTATTCCACAGCTAACATATGGATCATAACAACAAACTCACTAATACCTCAGGAAAATGCCCCAGAGCTAACAAAGCCTGACGCCCACAATCAGACCTGTAAATCATCTCTCAAGCATTGGTCAAAAGGCAAAAAACTAAATCATGTCAACTTGGAGTTTAAGCATTTAACTTCAAACAAATAAGTTAACATATTCTACCTAGAAAGACGACACAGTTCCCACAAAACCCATAAAATTTCTTCAGAGTAACAAGTTGATGTAAGCAAACGATCTACAGCATTAACCTGCACCAAAAGCATTAGAAAATCAAGGTACTTAGCAAAAACACAGTAGTGGAATTCAAAAAGAAAGGAAAAACAAAAAGAAAAAGAACCAATCAAAACAGAAACCAAGAAAAGGTATTATTGACCAACAAATGAAACTAACCACCCTCAAATGTGTTTCAATAATCATTCCAACTTCCCACGGGCGACAAAAGAAACCCTTGGATATCAAGACAAATGCATAAGGAAGTGGAACAGACTCTTCCTTTTTCAAATCATCAGCACCCTTTAGGGAAAGAATTACTGTAGTGGAGAGTTCAGGCTGAAGTAGTAGGAAGATTAAGCCTGAAAGAAAGAACCAAGATGAATCACAAAAATTCACAGGTCTGACAAGATATGAATATGGCAACATTCAATAAACCTGAGCGACAGAAAAGGAGTGAAAGAATAATGGCCTCAATATATGATGCAACTTCCACCAACATGTCCGTCACATGTCCCACTTCAGATCGTAAGATAGAAGATGACAACAATGCGGCTGACAAAGGAAGGAAACCCCTCTCCTGTTTACAAGGAAAGTCAGAAGTTATCACACAAGAAAATGGAAAACAAAAATAAATAAATTATAACTAACAAAAGTAGCACAGATTTTTGCCTTGAAGACATTAAAACCCTGACTGCATCATATCGTTCTACTCAACCCATATTTAAGAACATGAATTAATTTGCTTTGATCAGTATTCAATGGATACTCACCTATCTGTATTGAATGAGTTAGATTAAAAGTGAAAAGAAAAATAAAGGTTAATTGCATTACTAATTTAATTTCTAGAAGTTCATGCAAATAAAATGCCAAAGAGATGCTTTAAAGTTAGGTGAATCATGTTATACACAACACTACAACAGAGACGAATCACGTATGACCAAGTGTGAAGAGACAATATCAAGACAGTATATCAAAATTGCGCTGTTTGTTTTCAACACAGATGTCTACAAAAGAAAGAGGACCCAATAGATGCATTGAGAGAGAGAATTGTACACATAAAGCAACATCGCAATTTCTTTGTCCTTTTTTTCTTTTTTAATAAACAAAAAAGCAACATTACAATTTTGTCCATTTTTTCTTACAAGTAACATTATACATTTCTTGTAATCCCTCTAGTATTTTTTTTTCATGATTTTAATCCCTCTAGTGTTTTAACTACTTTATGACACAATAAGACCTAATAGGTTGGAAGTCAGAACAGGAATAGTCCATCTAAATGAGAGGTTGTACTTGGAGGCCAGCAGCAACAGGCCTCCTTTAAATAGGTGGGAGCTCATGTCCATTTAGGTTGAGCATAAAGAACGACTAGAGAGACCATTTGCAAAGAGAAGGCTGTGGAAAAGTCTCAATGGTGGCAAAGTTCCCAAGCCAAATGGATAAGATAGAACCCGTCAAATAATATTTGTAACCGGACATCGAGAAACTTTCAAAATTTTGCCATGTAAATTCTTGTAACTTCTGCTTCAGAAGATGGGATCTGAGGCTAGAGGGAAAGATAGAGCTTCTAGCATCAAATTCTTTAATCTGATCAACAACACTTTAGAAGATCTTTTCCCAAGTTCGGAAGGGCCCAAGCAAGGAAACTCTTGCACATTGAGAAAACTTTCAGAAATTTGCCATGGAGATATTTGTAACTTCTGTTTAAGGTTATGGGATCTATGGCTGAATGGAAAGATGTAGTTTATAACATCAAATTCTTTAATTTGGTCAACAACACTCTAGAAGATCTTTTCCCAATTTCGGGAGGGCCCAAGCAAGGAGACTCTTTCTCCACTTGTTATGAAGGTGTTGACTAGGTTGCTAGTTATAGCAGTAGATAAAAGCATGCTGAGAGAAAATTTGGTTGGAGTATCATGGCTGTATGACCATATAATTTTTTTCAGTTCTTGTTCATTAGTAATACCATTATCTTCTGTAGGGCAGAAACTGAGAGATATCCAATGCATTTAGTCTAAGACTGCTCTGAGAGTTAAGATGGGAAGAGTAAGCTAAGTCAAATAGGAAAGGTGTTGGATGCATCGTGTCAGCAGGCTTTGAGAAGAATTTGGGGAGAAAGATTTACTCTTGCCCCACTAAAATTTAGGGCTGCATTTGAGTTCTTCTAACATAGCCAAATCTGTTTGGGACTGGACAATAGAAAGGTTTGAGCAAAATAAGAAGATTGGAAACGTGGCACTACAAACTTATGTTTATTTTCAACATTGTGGCCTCAAAGGTAGAATAGAGTTCAGAATCTCAAAAATGAAGTTTCTTTATAGTGCGTGTGACTTTTTTCTTTTTTTCTTTTTTCGAGGGTTTTTCATTAACATTTCAATTAAGGCCTGGGGTTTGAAATTAGGAACCTTAGTTACTTAAGGAAAGTGATTATGGAAACGTAATTACCTTGGGAAAGCTTGTAGAGGAGAGCAGTGGAAAAAAATTATGGGTGTGCTTGAGTGGGTTTCAAACAACCTAAGGGAACCACAAGAGGTTGAACAGTGGAAAGCGTTAGAAAATGATGGCAGCACTTCTCGAGATACATTATTTTCGTGGAGGGAAACAATAAAAGGATTAGTTCTTTGCATGACACTTAGGTGCTATTCCATAAAATAAAAGGTACTAAAAAAGAATTAAGGCTACAAGAATTTGAATAACTAAAAACCTAAGAATAAACTTGTAGATTGACATTGAATTCCAAAACCACCTTTTGATTTGTGCATTCAATATTTAGTGAGATGTCAGAGTTCTCTGACTTAAATTAACCCTTTTTCAATGAAATTTTGTCTTAAAGAAATAACTAATAGTATGTAACAGGCACACTTAATAGAGAAAGCATTGCAACTCTAGAGTTTTTAAGCACTTTCAAAACAACATCTTAGTGCAAAATGCATCAAATATTTACAAAAGATGGCTCATTTCATTTGTTTTGTTGGAAGAATAGGAACGAGGTATCGAATATTGCATATTTTTACCTTCCTTAAATCATCTGCCTGCATTGAGTCCCAAATATAATCACATCAGATTGAGATTCCAAGTCTGTCACCAATAGAGTTTGGGAAACATCCAGGGTATGCGCCATTCACTTGGCAAGAACCGCAAGCAGTGGGAAGCAATCATTGCAGAAGCAAAATTTGCTCATAACTATTCTAAGAATCATATTTTCTATAAACAGAAACTGAAATTGAAGAGATGTTCAACAGTATAACATGAGTTATATGCCCATGGCAACTGATATCGATCTAGATCGATCAAAAATAATTGACCTTATTCAACGGTATTTACATGAGTTCCTCTTACTTATTCTTAAGCAAGCCGAGGTTAGTTAATCCACAATTTTTGTTTCATCTCTTGTTTCCTTTTGTTTTGAAAACAGACAAGACATTTTTATGATTGGGCACCCACATCACAAATTCGGAAGAAAATGCAAAGGGCAAAAAAATGGCTGAAGATACGAAAAGGTTGCATGATCAAATCAGGTCGAAAATTGAATAATCAAATGTAAGGAGAATGCAGCAAGAAGATACATGACAACAGCTTTCAAGAATGAGAAACGGTATTGGTGGTGTTTTATGTACACTTCCAGCTGGAACTTATTCCAAACTAGAAAAAGGAAGATTAGGCCTTATCAAGCCATCAAGAAATTGGAAATAATACTTATAAAATTAATTTACCTCAACACTTGGGGATTGATCCTACATTTAATGTTTCAAAATCATATCAATACCATGAAGCAATGAAGAACAAAGAGTTACAGTACAGCACTAGTAACTCAAGGGCGAGTTTTCTTCAAGGAGGAGTAGGGATGGCAATTTGACCCGCCCCTGCGGTTAGCGCCCCGCCCTGTTTTTGGCGGTTTTGGGGGACCGATTAGCTTATTTGGGCGGGGATGGTTTGATGTAATAAAAACCCGTGCGGGTCTGTTGCGGGTGCGGGGGGGGCGGGGGGAGGTCGCCCCCCGCCCCGCCCCGCCCCGTTCCGTTTAGATAGGCAAATTACTTATGTACCCTTATTTCATTAGTATATATATTTCCCAGTATATATATTAAGTACCCTATATAACAATATTAAAGTAACAAATGAATTTGATTAGAAGGACGTTGCAATGGTGAAGAACTAAAGATGAGGGGGCAAAAAAAAAAAAGAGCAAATCTATTTAAACAATAAATAAATTATGGTCTTTAACGAGGCGGGGCGAGTACCCACGGGGGTAAAAATGTTAAACGGTTGCGGGGATGGGGTGGAAAGTCCCCCTGTTTTTTCGGTTTTGGGCGGGGAGGGGGGCGGGGTTTTTAAACGGTTGCGGGGGCGGGGGCGGGGGCGGGGGAGGGTACACCCGCCCAAGCCCGCCCCCGTTGCCATCCCTAAGGAGGAGGGTTTGACGCAGATAACTAGTGGTGCCCTGAAAAGTCTCTTGCTATTTAGTGAAAAACAAAGCTCACCCATGATTAAGGTTTGGAGTTTCTAAGTGATAGCTTTAATTTGATGCGGGAATTAGAAAAGGCATTCTAAGAAAATAAAGGGTCCCTCTCCGCTATAGCAAGTCCTTGTCAATATAAATTCAGTATATCATCAGCTTGTAAACAATTATCCAGTCAGGCTTTGGCTAGATTTCACTTTAGAAATTTTTGTACTTGGGTCTCGCTCCCCTTTTGAGCGGTTCTTCAATAAAATTTACTTATCAAAAAAAAAAGAAAAAAAAAAAGAAAAGATTTCACTTTAGAAACCTAGGTTCCGAGCAGTGATCGGTGTAGTACCAGTCTATCTTACAGTTGTAAGTGGACTATTTTCATTCTCCGCTTGCTACAGATTCAGTAGTGAAACAGTTCAAGCCAAAAAGTGACAGATGGAGAAAGTTAATATCTACTGAAAATAGTTAAATTAACGCTTATAAGATGGCACCATTTCAAGTTGTTATGTACTTCGTATCTATCCTCATTATTCCAGTATCAATGGTTGAGAGATTGGAGAAGATTCAGAGGGTTTTGTGAAGTGGTATGAGGGAGAGTATAAGGATCCGCGGCCTGGAAGAGATTATGAACCCCTTTCCCATCTAGGGAATCCTGGAGTGAGATCATTTTGACAAGTTAATCAAGCATTGTTGGTGAAAGCCTTGGAGAGTTAGAGGTATGCAATGGAATCCAGTTATAATATGATAGGACCAAAATTAATGTGAGTAAATATGATAAGAAAGACATGACAGCTTGTGTTTAACTAAATTATAGCCTAAACAGAGAGAAATAGTGAAACAAGATTCATGTAACTAACCCCAAAAAGTTGAAAGAAGTAATTTGTTTAGTTGAGTTGAATCTATCATCATCTTTCTAAAAATGTTTTTGCTCGGTTTTGCAACAACTTCTCAGTAATCCTCAAGAACACACAAACCTGCCTAAATCTCTCCCAATTAATGATACTTTTTTTTATAAGTCTCCCAATTAACGATTGAACCAGAATTATCCTAATAACTATGACAAGCAAAGTGGTGGTGGTGACAATGGAGCTAGTGATGACGGGTGGCGGCAGCGGGGGTTATAATATGCGATAATTTGAGATAATTGACTTAACCCTTATCTTATGTAAAATCAAAGAGGACAAAAACAACGTGAAAAAAAAGTCTTACCAGAAAAAGAGAAGAGATGCAACTGAAATAAATATACTTCAAAGTACGTTGAAGGCCAATTTTAGAATGAAAAAAGAGAGAATACAACAGTATACCTTAAGAAGTGATAGCAAGTGTGAGTCAATATCCCAATTCGAAAAGCAGCAATTTGATGAAGTAATGAAGCTACTGGTTGCTTTATATGACAATAGACCTTCTGTTCCACCCAGAATAAAGGATCTTCTCCAACTGGCCAATGAAGAAGGATCTTCAATCGGGCCGCGCATATTTATCAATTTCTGCAGCAACAATCTTGTCAAGAAACACAAACTAAGAAACAACAATTGTAAGATTATATTACAAGTCAAAATAAACAACTAGTAATTAGTAGAACCAGTTAGTATGGGCCTGCTTGGTTTGTAAAACTGTTTTCAGAGAACTGAAAATCAGAAAACTGTACAAAGACTCTGCTTGGTTCAGTTTTCTGAAAACTGTTTTATGAAAACTCAGATATGAAAATGCCTATTTTCAGAGAACTGACAGTTTTCTGTTTTCTGAGTTCTTGAGAACTGTTTTCAGAGTTACAAACCAAGCAGGCCCTACTACACCTTTTCACATGCTTTAAAAAGCGAAAAAACAAAACAAAAAAACAAGAACATAAAAGCTTTTGACTAACCAAGAGCTTTTTGAGTTGAAGTTTAGCGCTGTTAAGCATGTCCAAAGTGACACTTGTAATCCTACCAGCAGCAGAAAGACCTCCCAATACAGATAATACTGCACACTGCCAGAAAAGCAAAAACAACTGAGTCTCTATAGATAACATTAGTATGCACATGCACACAAGTACAAGCTCCCTCCTCCACCCATCCATAGTCCATGTGCACGTGCACACACACATCCCTCACCAAGTCCAAGAATTATTTTGACAAATAATCTCAAACCAAGCCAAAGCATGTACCTCATATTTGGAAGCGACTTCATATAAACGCAGGCGATGAAGTACATAAGTTGCAAGAGAAGCAACATCGTGACGCTGCTTTCGCAATAACAACTTCAACAATTGATTATAACCTTCACTGATACCAGAAGGAACATTTTCATCTTCACGAGGCCACCAACCTAGGAACCCTTCACACCCAATTGAATGCCGAGTAGCCTGCTCAACAACTCCAAGTAACATTAATGTAACAGCACTAGAGTTCTCAGTGCCATGGCAAAAAATATACCCAAGCTGCTCCATGCCGCCATCATTAACAAAGTGAAAGCAGCTCTCTCTACCGGAGCACAAAACAAGAGCCAAGCTCAACCACAGAATCACATTTTTATTCTGAAACGCAAGATAAGATCACTAATCATTACATTCATGGGTCAATATAGATATATAACATACAGATAGAGGGGAAAATCATTTTTTTTTTCTTTAAACTGCCATAGCCCACTCCCCCAAACAGTATCATCAAACAGTATTTACTTCTTTTTCATCATTTTCCTTATATATTCAATGGTCAAAACAGTATTTACTATACATTCAAGGCTTTGGATGAGGAAGGAACTTTGGATGGTGAAAGCCTTAATGATTAATATTGAAGGCTCTCATCATATTTTCCTCATCCAAGGCTTTCATCATACTTTTAAAAAACTGCCATACCCCATTCTGCAAAAATACATAAATATATAAATATAAAAAATAAAAAAAAAACTGACAGATTTCAAATCACCTGTGAAAGCAAAGGATGTCCAACTTTTCCAGAATTCTTATTAAAAGGGAAGTACTGGCTCAAAATATCTACTAACTGTTTCGAAGTAGCCAAATCAGCCTCAGATTCAAGAACCATGCTCTCTGCCAAGAATTCAGCTAAGGACTTTCCAGATTCATGTTGAAGGCTTTTACATATTTCCAGAAGCTCCTTCCTGGCCTCAGGAAAAACATAATAAGAATCTACTTCACAATTTCTTGATCTGCCCTCAGTAATTTGTTTCTCACTAATACCTCTGCACTGCAAGCTCTCCGTGGCATAAGAAGAGGCTGCTGACACCACAGAACTAACAACTTTATTGATTGCATCCCCAAGGTTTGACAACTCCAAAATCTTAAATGTGAGCAGTAAAAATTGCTTGATCTCAACAGAAATATCCAATGCAACAGCATCTAGAGATAATGTTTTTAGGGGAGATATGGATTCTTCAATTGTAAATTTAGCTGGGAGTAATACAGAAGGAAGGTCTTCAAGCTTTTCCTCAATAGAACGAACAATATTGGTCAAAGAGCTATCTAAATCAATTTCAAAGTTGAACTGCCCAAGATCTTCGGCTGTGTTTCCATATATGACCAAGGTAAGGCTGCGGTAGCTGCCCCTTACAACCAAATGACTAGTTACTACAGCCTGCAACAAGATAGTGTATTACTTCCAACAAACTTCAAGGTTAGGATACATCACTGTTTTTGCAATAAAAATACACCAAGAAGCATAATGAAGGGGAGTTATATAATTTGATTCAAAACAAGGGAAATGAAGGGGGAAAGGCACCATCCAAGTTCACATAATAGTGCACCCTATCACCAAAATGAACATTACAGGAGTCAATATTATTGTCCTATCCCTCCACAATTTTGCACAACCTCAGTCAACTGATGCTAAAAATTAAACTATGATTGCTAGAAAAAAAAGGTCAAAATTACCATTGCAATAAAAATGTGAACACAATCTTTTCTTCTTTTTTTAGTAGGAAGACTTAAAATATTATGATAAGAGGAAACCCCTTTAGTATTGTCCTAGTCTTAGACTTATATTTCTCAAATAGGAGCACTAGCTTATTAAATCAACCTAAAAAATAAAAATAAAAAGATGGAAAAGACATACACATGGAATGAAAATAAATAGAGTTTCATATTAAAATTTCTTTTAAAAAAAATAAGAGCAACTTCTTTTGACGAGGCCAAGGCTTCCAAACCAATGGACAAGTGAAGAGCATAAATTGGTACCACCTATTAAAAAGATGCTACAAGAATTGAGATACCTCAACTTCAAGCACATTAGAAGAAGAATGAGAATACAAAAAGGGCTGACAGAGCCGCTTGAATCTTGTTTCCCCTTCACACTGCACAAAAACCTCCAAAGCAAATGAAGGAGGTGATGTGGCCCTGTACATAAAGAATGGCGCCATATCACATGAGAGAAATAAAATAAAATAAAAAATAAAATAAGTGAAGTAAAGAGCACTGTAACGTGAACACTTATGGGAAGGTGCATAAAACCAATGAGAGGCATAATTCAGCAATTTAATAACTGGAAAAATGGTCCAAGGCATGGTTGTTAAAAGCTCAAGGAGCACTAAGCACCAAGGCATCCTAGAGCCTAGGCCCAAGGCACAACTTAAGGCACGAGCTAAATCTGCTCAACTCAAATCGACAAGCATAATAAATATACTCAACTCGACAAAGCCTTTTTCCAACTACTTGAGGATGGTTACATGAATCCTATCTTTCTATACCGCTCTATCTAAGCCCATAGCCTAGCCAACCACGAGTTATCGTATCTTCTTTCCTAACTATACCCATATTACTTCTGACCCCTATCATTACCTTTAATGTAAACCATTAACATGCCACTCTTCCTAACAATGTCACCAATGTGTTCATTTCTAATTCTATCATTATGTGTCTTGCTGCACATCCATCAAAGAAGAATATTAAATAAAATAATTTAAAAAATTGCATGCATCCGGCACTAATCAAGATCAAAGCAAAGGAACATTTTAGTTGAATGAACATATATATGTCTTTTGACTCTATATATAAAACAATTGAATCAACTTTCACTTAAAACAATTCAAAAGATAAAAACATGAAGCTAATAAACATAAAAAAAATAAAAAATAAATAAAAGAATGGATTTTTGACACATCAACTAATGATTCAATGAGCATATATCCGTTTGATATACATATTTATTAATTAAATCAGATATCACCATAAATGTGCAACAATTTTTTTTTTTTTTTTTTTTTTTGATAAGTAAATTGTATTAAAAGCGTTCAAAAAGGGGAATGCGACCCAAACTAAACAAAGACAAAACGGAGCCTATGAATTCAAAGAACTCATAAAGTCAACAATCTCCTCAAGAGAGGAGTAGTCTCTCCCCTGAAAACATTAGAAGCAAACATTAGACGCAAATAATGACAAGTACTCAATCAGAAACTCATGAATTACACCAGATATTCAATAAGTTTTAACAATGTGATTCATTGGATATGAATTGTCAAAAAAATGGATATAAAAAATTAAAATAAAATAAAAAATCATGTTATTCAATAATTAAAAAGGCGCGCTTTTTTAAATATTCGGGCCTGCTAAAAAAGCACAAGCCTGAGGGTTTTAGATGGACATGACTGAAGGGGCCTGGCCCACAGTACATTGAGTCACTCCAGTTGAGCCTTAAGAAGTCTGGGGCTTTTGGAGGCCAGGCACCTTTAACAAGTATGTCCAAGGGTGCACTAATATCTCTCTTTAAAAGCTAAAACATTGTTAAATGTCTCTTTATTATACACCATAAAAGATAATGTTCCTAATTTACAAAAAAATAAAAAATATGCACAATTTTAATACTCTTTGGACCACATATAAATCACAATTGTTGGCGGTACTGGAATTATTATTGTTTACCATAGCTATTCTTCTTGATAATGACAAATGGAGTACAAGAAGAATTTTCCTCAGCTCAAGGGGAATCAGGGAACAGACCAATTCCAAGTTGCAGCATAAGGTTATCTCGGAGATTTTTGGTTTAGGTGCAGTCCCCTTAACCCCCAACCCTCTTCTCTCCCTTTTTCCTCTGATGATGGCATTATCCTTTTGGTGATGCCTTTCTTTGCCAAGTGAGAATTCTTGAAGCAGTCCAAGATTATTTTAAACACCCTATGGCCTGGGGCAAAAAAATTTCCGGTTGGCGATTTGCATAGAATAAAGCATGTCTGATATCCTAAATTTATGGTTAGTTCACTCCAGAAAAAACCATTTGACTCTTCAATTAAGCAGTTTTTGCAAAGCTACTTCAATTTGTATCCCGTCACTAAAAGTCTGGGGATAATTACCTCTTCAGGAGAAGAGATAATGGTCCAAAGGTGGCAACTTACATTATCAGAACTACCAGTGGACCACCACTCATTTTGTAGCCAATACTTTTATATTTGCAAGGTCACTTTTGAGTTAGAATTCTTACGGAGAAACCCGTAGGACATAGGACAAGGTCGAGTACAAATTTTTTTATAGGAGCACATTTTCAATAGTAGGTAACTAAGCGCCTAAATAATCTCTACTGGGCCACCCTCCATTTTGCTTGAACTTCGGGAAACGTGCAGGAGATTGTGCTTTGCTAGTTCACATCTGTGCAGTTTTTTATATCATGCCAAAAAGAGCCCATCTTAAGGATTGAATCTATAACCTATTATGAGCAAGACAAGCCTCTACCACTAATCCACAACTGTGTTTCTATTATAAATAGGGCTACTTTTTTATTTAACCAGATCCTTCATTTTTTCAATAAATTTAATAGAATATGACATCTAAGCAATTACTATGATGATATTTCATTTTAATAAGTAATTACATACACATCATACAGGCACCTAGAGACACAACCGCTTTCTAAATATTTTAGATTTTGACGCACTTGCGCTGTTGCTCTCAATCCTGCACTCATTCACGTTCCTGCTTCATGTGACTTAGATTCAAACTAAAGTGAACTTCAGAGAGTTCTGACAACAAAACCAACAATGATAAGACGAAACGATTTCTTCATAGGTCAAAATTAAAATCTACAAAGAAATTGTAACATTTATATAACCACAATCACATTTCTAAATTGTCAAGTGATAGTTTCACTTATAATGAATTATGCCATTTATATTTTCCACCCACTTAAAAGGATATTTTCCTGAAAAATAGAACAAAAATAATACATAAACCAGTCACTAGACTGAACATCCTTCCTGGGAATATTGTAAGAGATTAGACATCAGTTGCATCATTACTAGCACCATACCCAATAAGTGTCACTGCTGGAGAGGCTGATGAAGCATTCTGTTCAAGGAACTCACACGCAGTGATGACGATAGGTTCAGCAAATATTACCTGTAAAGAGAAAAAACAAGTTAGCAACATTCAACTAATAGACAGAACAAATGAAATAACAGATAACCAAAAAGTACGTAACTGCATTAAACATGACAACTTTGAAATGAACTTTTCATTTGTCAAAAAGACCTAACACCAAGTCTTGATCACCTTGACCATGACAACTTTGATGACAATTCCTCTTATTTTCTCAGTTAGAACTTAAAAAGACCTGAGGGCAAGTCTTGGTCACCTTGACTAAGGTAAATCCATGTTCTCATTGGATTTGCAGAGCTTATCAAAATTTGACACTTCTCATAGCCTTATCCAAGACTTTAGCCTAGCCATTGCTATAGTACACTTATAAGAAAAACATATTGTATGTTTGTATAAAATTCACAAAAAAATTTGACCATATTCAGGAATATAGAATTTTTCAGATACAAAAAAAAAAAAAAAAAGTGATGTAATTGTAGGAGAAATATATTGCATTTCTATCCACATATACATATCCAAATAGAAATATATGTTGTGTCTTTTCTTTTTCTTTGTCGATGTAATAAGGAAGATCATTAATTATTAAGATTCACAATTTTCTTTTTTATTGTCGATGCAATAGGGGAGATCATTAATTATTAAGATTCACAACTTACAAATTTAATATTTTTATCGAGTAATAGATTCACTTATCATAAATTAATGTGAGATTTATATATATATATATATATAAAATATTTCTTTGTTCCCATGTCCTTGTTTTGTTCATATCAGTATATTAAGTGCCTATACTCCGCAAGTAGCCAACCAATAACTATTTCCTAAAATTATTAACAGTTCCATCATTGTAAATTCAACCTATTTCCAATTAGCCATTACAGGAATAGTGTGGCTGTACACTTCTACAACCAGCAGAAATTCGCCTCTAAATACCAATACCAATTGCATCTAAAGACGTCCCAAGTATTAAAAATATCTCAAATTAAGAAGGGAAAAAATTCGTTCTTTTTCCTAGGTATTCTTTCCTTTTCTTTTTTCTCAGAAAGCAAACAGAAACCACCAATTACAATCTCAAAACGAATCTTGAAAAACATGTCGAATTAATCACATGAAAGAGTAAAAAAGAAACAGATTGAACGAAGAAAAATAAATAGTGATGGGTAGACGAGAAGATGTGCATACCTCGTCGACGTACTCGTCGAGTTGGGGATGGACGAATGTCTGAGCGAACAGCACACAAGGCTCGGTACGACCCATTTTTCTTTCCTTAGATCACTTTGAATGTGTTCTGCATGAGTGACTGTGCTAGGTTTTACATAGCAGACGACGAAGAAACCCAGCAACGACTAGTCTAATAAAACCCAGCGCAAGTCTTCTTTAGAATCCCAGCCCGTTTAAGATTGCGACTAGATCTCGCATCCGAATAAACCCGGCGCAAGACTTCTTTAGAATCCCACCCGCTTATACATCATTAAAAGTCCTTTAAATATTTACCAAGGCCCCGTTTGGGAGCTTTCTCGCATAAAGGTCTTCGAGTCGGTTTGGGGTTTACTTTTGAAATTAAAAAATAATAGTAATACATCTATTAATAGAGTTGTCAAAAAATTACTCTTACTAAAAATATATGTTAGTTGTTTGGTGACACAATATAATAAGTATTTTTATAATTAAATTATTTTTAAATTTATTTTGTAATAATATTTTTAAAAAGTATTTTTTATTACTAATTTTATAATAATATCCTTTAATAGAATGTTATCGTAATTGATAATAGCAATTTTATAAAGAAATACGTATAATTGTCTTTATAAAAAATAAAAATAACATATAATTAACTAATGAAAAAAATTTGGCTACAAATTTTAGCTTCATTTAAACACTCTACTAAGCTAAATTTGGTAACCATTAAAAACTTTTAATGGTTACTAAACACATCTAAACATAATTTTTTAAAATAAAAATATGGGTAGAGTACAACAACACCATCCTGAGGTTCACCAAAATGACAAGGAGATGAAACTTAGCCTATGTTGAGACAAAGACACCCTCTCAAGTTTGATACAATTACCAAAGACACCCCATAGTAATGAATTGACATTTTTGCCTTTTGAGTTTTTTATTGACTAATTTGAATATTGAAATAACCTTTTCTAACCTCATACATAGGGACTTTGCCCTAGGAAAAAACGGTGCAGAGTGAGCCGCCGAAGATCCAAAGTTGTAGCATATGTATCCACACACACAAGGCGGTGGTGGCGGCGACAACTGTGAGCTGTCGTCAAGTAGAATCGCACCGGTGAATTAGATGACGATGATGACGTCTACGGTTGGCGGCGATTGTATCACCCGCAAGTTTCTAAAGGAACGGGCCGAGATCGGAGTTATCGAGAGATGACTTATTGAGAGCTAATAGCTTTTTGTTCAGGCATTCTCATACGACGATTTAGATGGTTTTGTAAACATACGGGTCTACTTTTCTTTTTCTTTTTCTTTTTTCTTTTTCTTGTTAGTTATGCAGCATGAGCTAACCCTAATGTTGAAAACCCAATGTTAGATCTTTTTGGGTTTTGTTTGTTAAGGTTTTCAATTCGCATTTGTTTACCTGAAATTGAAAAGATAAGGCATGGAATCAATCTCTCTCTATATGTTCTTGTGCTTTATAGAGATACTTTTTGTATTTGACAGAGACACAAAGTTTGTGGTTGTTCTACTGTGTTTTCAAAATCAATTGGGCTGGGGCTGGTTTGGATTATATCTGTACAACGTACATGTTAGCTCTCAGTTTTCACATCAGCTTTTACATCAACTAACATGTCGCCGGTCTCCACTGGTTTGTACAGAGAAATTTTATGATTAATTTAGGGAAGGTTAAGGTATGGATTGGATTGCAATTGTATGTGTGTGTAATACGTGTGTGTGTGTGTGTATATATATCTGAGAAAGTGAATGAACAGAATAAATAATGGGAGTGGTGGTGGTGGTGGTGGTGGTGGTGGAGGCGAAAGCGGTGGGGGCAGAGGTGGAAGTGGTGGTGGTGACGGTTGAAATAAACTAAGGGCAATTGTGTCTTTTTACTATAACTGATTATTTTTATGATTTTAATAATAAGGGATAATTTTGTATTTTCAATAGATTTAAGGCCTTGTTTTGTTGAAATTTCATATAAGAGGTGTCTTTGTCCCAAAGTAGACTAATTTTAATCTGTTTGTCTGTTTACTAAACCTCAGGGAGTGTTGTTGTACTTTACCCTAAAAACAAAGCAATCCCAAATGAAATAAATTTTGTTGGAAGGAGAATATAAGAAAAATACATTTGGTGAGCACATTTCTTAAATTTACTTTAACTTTTATATTATTTTTTTCTTGACAATAATATATTTTTTCCTCAAGAATTACTGCAATCCTTCAATAAAAAAGTGCGAAGGAAACATTGGTGGAAGGCGATAACAATGCTGGTAGTGGTAGTGGTAGTGGCAGAAAGCAATTGCGATGGTGATGGTGGCGGTTGAGGAAGGTGGTGGTGGGGATTAGGAAGGTGGTGGTGGAATGTGACGATGTCAATAGCGGTGAAAGGTCGTGGTAAGAGTGGCGATGCTAGTGGTTGATAAGCATTGAATATTGCATATTTGATTCCTTAAATGTGCACATGTTAATGTATTGGTGATACATTTATCTCGGTTCTTATGATTGTTTTCGTTTCTTTTTTATTTGTAAGTCTTTAACCGAATATGAGTTATGACTTAGTGTTTATTCATATATATACATTCTTAATTGAATTGAAATACGCTTGTAGCCACTTGATTCTCGAATATACATAAGTGTGAATTCCCCATAGTTAAGATAACTGATCATGTTATGAGGTTAGTGGCGAAGTCAATTCCCTAAAGGTGTGTTTGGATACATAGAAGAGAAAAGAAAAGAAAAGATAATAATAATTTGTATTCATGTTTAGATAAATATGAGAGAAGAGAAAATAAAGAATAGTCATTCTTGTTTGGATAAAATAGATGAGAGAAAATAAAATAAATTATAGTAACCAAATTACTATTATACCCTTTTATAATTGTAAGTGGTTAAGTCTATTTTTCTTGGGTGCACAAATATTAAAATTGGAAGCAAACATTAATAGTAAGATCAAACTTCATATGCTCAGCCTCTACTGTATATATCTATTAATTGAATCCCACTTGCTAAAACAAACATCAAAATTAACAATAAAAATCACAAATTTATAATTTATTTGAAAATTTCCAGAGAATATCTCGTCTATCTCGTTACCAGATTTTTTTGATATAGAAAAACAGCATTTCTCCTCTTCTATAGGCTTTTTGAAATATGCAGACTCATTTGTTTGTGATTGTTTGGTTGATAAGAAAGTATAGGAGGGAAAAAAAAAATTATGAATCTCAAATTTTATTCTTCAATTGGAGTCCAGGAAAGATAGTATGTAATTCAAAAAAAAAAAAAAAACACACACACACACACACACACATAAACATAGCATGGGACTTGAATGGAATAATAAATTTGCATATTGATATATGGAGCCTAATTTTGGTATTATCAAAATATCACTTAAATCACTATGCTTTCTCTCCCTATCTTTTCAAAATTGGAGAGAAAACAAATGAAGGATAGAGTTATCCCTCCCTACCTCTCCCTATCCAATTTTTTCTTTTCATTTAAGCCATCCAAACACACTCACACCCTATCATTTCTTTATTTTCTCTCCCTATCTCTCCAAATCATTCTATCCAAACACACCCTAAGTCCCTACTATCTTGATACATATTCTTATTAACTTAGTTTAATTTCAATTCATTACAATCTATAAATAGAAAGCAAATCAAAATTATTCTTTCGAATTAAATTCATAATTAATTGTATACTTAATAATACGAGCACGGTCCTAAGTTTTGACACCCTCGACATAGCCCTATCTTACTAGGATTCGTTCTATTGTGAGTGTTTTTATTATTGAAAAACACACATCAATATTTTGCATCATTGTAGGAAACCGTGTAACATTTCATTGTTAAGTTATATGTTTGTTATAGTTTGATTATTAGTTTAGGACTCTTTTTATTCTCATCTTATTTCTTTTTGTTTTCAAGTGCACGAATCTAGGTACAAGTGTTGGGATTATATGCCCTACAAGCCAATTATTTATTATCAATTCGATATTTTATTAATAAATATGATATTAATACATTGGGCTTTACATATATTTGCATAAGATGCATTATTGTCCTCAAGTTGCATTATAGGTGACTTAAGTGTGTAAATGAGATTAACACATAGGAGATTTGGGCTCACCGGTTTCTTGCACCTTGGCATTGTTCGCAGTCAGTGATAAAAGTTGGGTATTTTTATATGTAAGACTATAACACATTTGACCTCTATAAGATAAGATAGTTTGTCTCGACCATTGGGGTAATTGACTATAAGGCAGTGTGTTAGTATGCTCGGAGTACACTGAACTGGATCACCATAAAATCACACCATACAAATTACTGCTATTATTTTGGTGTGATTCTTAACTACTAGATGTATTGAGTTCTAAATCCTGAGAGGTTTAGTGGACTCAAGTTTCAGTATTGGTTACTTTGACTTACCAACATGTGAGATCTTTTAAGGTCAATACCATGGTATCTTGGGTGGCTAATGTTGGAGCTCTGGGAACACAAATGCTCAACATAGAATCCACACTCTTTATAAGAGTTAGAATATCCCCTTGGTGCAATTTAATAAGTTTGATCACTGAAACCTGGTTAGGACATTTTAGTAAAATGTTTACTATTATTTATTGAGAAAAATATTTATTTTGAAAAATTATTTTATAAAATAAATTCAGTGATCACAATGATTAAATTGGTTACTCAAGGAATATAAGAAGTAAGCATGCCTTAGGTGGGACAATATTTATTTTCCTTAGGGCTACTTATGGATATTCGGTAGTGGAGGGACTTATGTATAATTATTTAGTATGAAAGGGTCTTATTGTAATTTCTAAATCCTAGAGTGCAATTACAATATTATTGTGGTGCTTATTGTAATTAATTAGATAGGATAGAGTTATGAGACTCTATCTAATTGGAGCTATGATAAGAATCCCTTTTGACCCTCATATCTAGCCCCATCTATGTAGACGATATATCTTTCTTATTCGGTAATATATACAATCTCAAATAATATACAGAATAACGAGAGTGAGAGATATAAGGTTCACAAACTTGTGTATCATGGGGGTATAGAGGTGAAGGTTTACTGGTGTTCAAGGCGAAAGGAGAACCAATCAAATTCACTGTTATTCTTGAAGTGTTAACAATTAATCAGTCGTCCAAAGGTATGAGATCCCTTTACAGTATTAATTGATTTGATGAAATATCATGTGGATATGATCCTAAAAAATTATTAAATGCTTCCGTTGTGCCCTTCAATTGGTATCAGAGCAACCCGTGTGATTTTCATTAAATCAGAGTGATGTTTTGATTTTTTGATTTGTTGATAGATGTTTATGTTTTATTAATGCTATTTATGATTATGAAATTAATTTTGATAGCATGAATAAATTGAT